TATCATATCAACGGTCAACCAACTCTACATCATTTTTAATGTTTAAGGATGAATAGGCTCAGAACTGAGTCATTTTAGTTTACTTTTAATTTAATTTTTGCACTGAATCATACCATAGCCATGATTTTACGGTGGAGGGGATCAATTATTTCACAATCTTAATATTTTTTTCTCTTGGTTTGATTTTGAGGAAAAGCCAACTCAATTATTATTCGAAAGGAGTGAGGTTAAACTATTTTTAAATTGAGCGACTTATTTATATATTTGCATTGTGACCTTTTTTTTCTTTTTCTATAGGATAACCCTCTACCCTCTACCTGGAAGGTTGAGTTCCATTCTGTGGGTCCACCACCAAATAAAAGTCAACCCCTCCCAGGCCAGGTCGAACCGGACGAGGATGGTATAACGGGCAATGCTCCAACACACTTGGCTATCATGACCTCATTTGCATTGGATAAAAAAATTCCTCATCCTGGTGGCAGAATAGCTTTCCATAATATTCAGATATTTTCCAATGGATTACATATTGCTAATTGTCATACTCACTGATTACAATGATAGATATTATTGTCTATTCCCTATTATTAGGGGATCCAATAGTTTATTCATATCTCAATGTCCCAGAGGAACTGACAAGAAACATAGTTTATTACGAGGTTAAGTAACACCATTTGCTTAAGACTTTTCAGAATATAAAATAGTTAATACATTACTTATTAGTACTAGTAACCATTCATTAGTGCTAAGAACAAAAACAAATTTTCTAAAAATAACAAATTTTTAAAAGTGAAAAATGGTTATTTAAATGAATGATGACTGGGAACAGTCCTGCTGGTGTACTTAAGATTACACAAAGAATTTGATATTAGCAATATTATTGTTATATGAACCAGCTAGCTTATATTAAAAACCAATCAAAACATATAATATAATAAAAATTAATTTAATTCAGTTTTAGGTTACGAATGTTGCAAAAAATAGTACTGGATGTAATAGAAGAGCTGAATAATTAAAATAATATTTAATAAGGAACTTTATAATCAAGTAACGTGGAAATGAAAAATTAATACTTCATATCCCTCATCAATAATAAGAAAGATATACCATAAGATGGGGTAACTTTGGGACTGGATGGGTAACTTTGGGACTACGGGTAAAATTTAACTTGTGGGGATACCATGATGAATACGTACTTTGTGTAGAGGCATGTACTGCGCTATTACCTACTACTCTTGAAGTACAAGCAAAAGTTTCATGAAAACAAAAATTTTGAAAAAAACAACAGAAATAAATAAAGCCTAACTGCACAATGAGTGTAGTGAATTAAGGTTCTCAAACTGCTGCAAGGTAGTATCGCAGTACATGCCTACATAAAGCACGTTTTACAGACTGGCCCAGCACAGCTTATCCACCACGGAATCACTACAAACTAATTTTTAGCTGCTGCCCTAAAGTTACCCACTCAGTCCTATAGTTACCCCATCAAACTTAAGTGTGAACTTTGTAAAAAACACTTTAAAATAATGAAACCTTTAAAAGTGAAAAAAAAATCGATATACAAAACTACTCACTGAGAATAAATTCAAGATGAGGTTGATTTAGTATTTTTCCTTAATGTATCATTAAAATTGCTTGAAGATAAAATAAAGGATTATAATACCAAGAAAGGTTAAAATTAGTTTCATTAAAATCATAAAAATAACTTTTTAATAAATTAAAGTGTTATCCAATAAATTCATATGTAAATTAAGTTATCAGGTATGTCCAAGGGACTTAGCAATAACTGAATGATGATTTACACATTGCCAGCCAGCGTGCTAGTTGCCACCAATCACTAGATATTAAGGACTAGTACCAAGTAAACTTCAGCAACCATGCATAACATCCTGCCTAACTGCCTATCAGACATGGTAGGGTTGTAAATAAATAAAATACAATATAAATGCTTCATGGCAGACACTATTGTGGAAGAATGAATGGTGGGGCAGTAAATGACAGCTCTAGCCGAACAAATATATTAGTTTTACTGAAGTGCTAACTTTCACCTCAATACCATTTAGGCACACTGTGAGATGAATCAACAAAACAAATAATTAACACTAATTTTTTATATAAACATTTTTCAAAAATGGGAATGTTTTAATTAACGCAGAATAATAATCATAGCATGAGTGTATTTCAATATGATACAGACAATTTAAATAATCAATTAGTTACCTTACATTTGCAACCATAATTTTAAACCTAATTTTCACAGTTTGAATAGTTATCGGATATGCCACGCTGATAATGTATCTATCATCAATGCCAAAATTTCTGATATAAGCTCAGAAAAATGTAGAAATTGATGAAAAATTACATTAAATTAAGTGTTTTATTTCAATTATAAAATCCTTATAAGTAAGTTATATGTATTCATACTTATGAACTGTTTTAACATTGATCAATGAGAATGAATTATTTTTTCATATTTTTGATTGCCACATAATTGCCAGATTGAAATTAGAAAAGTTAAAAAGCTTTTAAAGTATGACCATGTCAATCTATAGCCCCATAGTCTCTATTTGCTAATTTTAAATTAACAAGAATAAGTCATTAAGGATTTGTATCAGCAATAAATTCAATATTTAGCTGCATAAATGTGTAAACTTTGGAACACCCTAAATATAATATTATAAAATATATTTTGAATATTTCTATACTATCTTAACAGATGATTGTTGTGTTAGTCTTTATCTTTCTATGGATTATCATATAGTTCTCTGTCATGTAAAGAAAAGAAATATTCTCATACTATTCTAATTAATGGTTTTGATAGCTGAAAATCATGAACTTGCTGAGGTATTGAGAAGAAGCCATCTTAAAGTGATAAATACTTATTTTTCTTGTCAAATTCTTCATGTACTTACTCTGTTTGCCATTTACAACATTTTGAGTTCCTTAGTGAAAGACCAAAAAGATATAGAGTAATGCTGATAACCGAAAAGTAGGCAGAATTAGGTTACCACCTCCAATATAAATAGGCATTAAGCATCCATACTACCCCAGAATTGTTCCACAGAAATTTACCCACATCAAATTTATCTGAGAACACCAATGGAATTAACTGGTGAAATAAGACCATATATAACAAAAAGTGCATACGTCTCACACTCACTTTTTTGTTTCCTTAATAAAATAATACATTTAATTACTACTATAGCTCTCAAAGAACCACCAAACAATCTTGGTTTTCTTCAATGAGAATCTGTAATGATCAACTCCCATCCAACCCCTAAAGATGTTTCAGGAGTCATTGGTTTCATAGTCTAACCATTGCAGCATGGAATTCCCGCAGTTTACCTTCCATGTGTGGCTTTCATATAACTTTTATCTTGTTATAATTTATCTATGCTATTCAGCTTTTCCAATTTCAAGTTATGACATCTAACTGTCTAAACAAATCTAATAACTTATTTTTTTTATTAAGGACTTTTCCATTACTGTGGTTATCCTTGACCTAAAAATTCTTTAAGAGATTCTTTCATCCTTCTTTATCTAAGGCTTGTTCTCTGATTCCATGCTCCGTCAGGCTTTCTTCCACCGCATCTTTCCATTTTACCTTTGATCTACTTTTTTTCCTTCTCTCTTCTCGTTTTAGTTCCATACATATCTTTCAGATGTCATTCTTTTCATATGCACGAAACAGCATATTCTTTTCTTTTCAATATTTGTTATAATGTTTGTTTCCACCTCCATCATTTCCAGAATTTTTCATTTATTCTCTTCTGGATTTTCTTGCTGCCCTTCTCCAGAAGTCCATCTCTACTGCTAAGAGTCTTTTTCGGAGTCTTACATTGATGACCCATGTGTCATTATTGACTCGAATATAGCCTTGTATATCAGCTTCTTTGAACTGGACTGTATATTCGAGCTCCAAAGGATACTGTTGAGTATTGCTGTGACCTTTCTTCCTTCACCAATCCTTCTCTCAATATCATGGGTGGATGTACCTTCTTTATTAAATATAGATCCCAGGTATTTAAATTTCTCTACAGTTGTTATACCTTATTCAATTGATGTGTCACCAGATGAAGTGCCAAGGTCCCCTGGCTCTGTTTTCATAAAGTTAATAGTCAACACCCACTTTTCATAAATCTTCACAACCTTTCTGAACATATAATTGATGTCTTCTCTATCCTGGGCTATGATTAATTGGTCATCAGCAAACATTATGTTCATGATGCATTTATTTTCCCCAACCCTTGTTCCCATTTAAAAAAAAATCTTTAAAAAATTAAAGAATCATTTAATTTTTTTTTATTGTCTGAATTAAATTAAGTATATTTACAATTGGATTTAAATAGGACAGATTATTAAAGAAAAGCCTAGTAATAAAATTCTACAGTATAGTAATGTAAAATGAAGAGTAATATACTTCCAGAGAATATGCCACTAGTTCAAATTAATATTCCATAAAAATAGCTTTAAAAACAACCAGCTTCCAACTTGAATTGTGCATACTGAGCTAAACATTTTCGAATGATGGGGTCTGTTTAATTAATTCCAAAAAGAACAATTATTTGAAATCCAAGGAATTTAAATTCGTTCCCAATTATTTTACAATCATGTCGTCAATGCAGATCATTATATTAATGTTTTTATCAATCCTACAATTCTCATATGTCAAAAACTGTGTTTATTTCAAGAATAAAATACTCAAATAAAAATGAGCTTTCTCTTTAATTTTTCGTAACACCATTACAACCGAATAAGATAAAATTCATAAAATACTGATTTTAAAATCTACATAATTAATATTAATTAAAAGGGAACAGAAGATTCACTGCATAATATGTCTGATGCCAAAAATTGACTTTATCGATTAAAAAAAAAAAAAAAAAAATACACGGTCATGATAAAAGTTGTTGATAAATTGTTCAAAAATTCCAAAACATATAAAAAATAAATAAAAAATGATATATGATGAGGGTCGACTACTAGGTTTGGACTAAACATACCCTCATGCCTTGCATCCGGGACATTGCCCTTAAAGGACGCAAAGCGCGGAGAGTTCGCATTGTTTTGAATGCCTGAATCCCTCCCGCACCAAGCAGGGACGCCGTGAAGTTTATCAGAGATACCTGGTGGCCGAAACAGACACTTCATAGCACAACACACACACACACAAAATATAAATAATAATAGGTTAGTTTATATCCACATGATACAAGTACAAGGAAACTAAGTGGAATATTCTGAATACATATTTAGCACACACAAAAAATATTTTAAAAAAAGAAAACATAATCAAAGTTACGCAGGAACATTATAATACCCTAGCTTGGATAGAAATGATTGTGTTTACATACAGATGTGCTCCATAAAAACAACAAACATGTGGGTAACACGAAAAATACTTTTTGAACATCAATTACTAAATCACTCATTGTTTAAGAAATCATATCTCAAGAAAAATATATAAATGATCATGATATATTATTTATTGTGCTTAGTGAGAAAATAAATCAGGGATTGCTTGATTGTATTTATTCATATTTTAAAACAAAGTTCGTTTGTAAAGTTATTAATTAATTAATTCGAAAACTAACAAAAAAAAAATTGATAATATATTTAATAATGAGAAAGATAAAAGCAAATTTATTCAAACTAACCATAAAATGCTATTTCATTAAGTATTTATTTTAATAAACAGGATCGTACTATTTATAAAAACAAGAATGAAGCATAACATTTATTACTTCTCTAACGGCTTTTGTTATCAAGCACTTTGGCTGAACTGCATAAAAAATGCCAACACAAATTAATAGCAAAGAAAGTACGGTTTCTAGAAACATATTGGTAAATAGACAACCCCTGCTTTCGGGAACACAACAAATTTGAATGTGCAACACTTATTCACAATATAACACATAGATGTTAAAACAGAAAGATTAAAGGGGAAAAGTAAAAACAACGAAAGCAATGGCTTTGCTTTTTGCAAAAGGATTTTTCACTTCATTTATATAATCAATGGATGCTTGTAAAGCGGACCATAAACTTACGCGCATGCCTTCCCAACGGGAAACAGCGCGGAGCGGCCTAAGGGCTCGCAAAGTTCGCATTGATCGGAACGCAGGAATGTCCGCTGCTCCCGTCCAAATTGCAACCAAGTTTATCAGCGACAGCTAAAAATAATCTCAAACATTCTTTGATATGTTCATTGATAAATAAACACAAAGTTACAAAAAGTTTGGGCTGCATGACAGTTTCATTAAAAATAAATCATATAAATTCAATCTTTTATAATTATATAATGATAGATTATAAATAAATAATTTAAAACTATAAAAGAAAAGCAATTTTCTCCTCAGCATTCTTACCTTTTTGCTCTTTTCTGTTTCTGTGTTTTAATTATGCTACAAGTACACAGCATTAAATTATGACAAAAACTACAAACTAATGATAAATATTCACTTAGAATAATTAAATATTTTGCATGGTGTTGATAAATATGGCTTCTTTACTTTTATTGAAAAAGTAAAAAAATTAGATTAATGAAGATAGTTGAAAATAAATTAAATGGAATACATATGTGTACAATATATCTATAATTATAAATAATAATGTAATGAATAAATGTAATATTTCCAAGTAAGTATGATTCTGAGATATAGAAAACATTAAAATAATAATTGTAATTAACACATACTATTATAAGAAGTTTTCATGCGAAAATGAGATATTGTTTGAAAAAGGTTGACATACATCATAAATATATAAAAATTATACAAAATACTTACAGAAAAATCCTTATTCATTACATTAAACAAATTATTAATAATAATCCTAAAATTATTTCTCATAAAATATTACTCTGAAGTAAAATAACTTTGTAATATGAATTATTAAGAATTCAAAGGAACCAGCATTTGAAACACTGCTTCTCATGAAACATATAAACTCTAGGACAAAATCAACAACTCACCTCAAAATTTATATATTTAAGCTGTTGATAGTAATTTAATTTAGAATTTCAGCAAATAAATCAACATTAGTAAAAAATATTTATTTATTAAAAAAACTTCTATTAATCTAATTAGTCTAATATTTAATGTACGATCCAAACAAAAAAAAAAAAAGTTTAAATCATAAACATAATAAATGTTCAGATTTCTATCCAAATTTATTTAATACCTCGTGCTACAGCCTATGGCAAGGATTGTGATAATCAATCACCTTCCTGTGCCCTCAAAGAGATTGTTAATTAATTCCTATGGTTAATTGTCCGACTTTTCACTAAATAGTGTTTCCAACGTTTCAAGTGTACATTAGATTTCTGGCTCCACACATGGAGCTTGCACAGTCCCCAAATATGCTCTATCAGATTAAGGTTTAAATTTTTTTAATGGCTACTCCAGGATAGCACAAAACTCAAATAAGTACTGAACTGCACTCTGGGCCACATTCTTATGTTTTTCATGGTTCAACAGGAAACTATTTCTAATATAGGAGACAAATAACACTAGCAGATGTTCTTCTGAGTACTTAAGGACTTGCTCTGCACAACCACTGATTCCATATGGTCTTCAGAAGAAAGAACAAATCAGGATACACTCAAGCCACCTTGGAATAGCTTTGAGTGGTCATAAATATTGTAAAAAAAATCAAGTTTTCTGATTTCTATAACTATAAGGTATATCTCATTTTATCAAAAATGATGGATGGCATAATACTTTTATGCATTATCTGATTATTACCATTATTTGAATCAACTACTGAATCTGGAAACCCTCTAATAACACACTCAGCCTATGTAAAGTGGGTATTTAATCATTTAATGGATTGAGGAAGGAAACAACCTGACAGTTGAGTATGTATTCTGACTTCAAACACTTATTAGACCATTGGTCAAATAATAGTGTTACCTTTTAAAGTATGAATTAGACTAGGGAGGCAGGGTGGCCGAGTGGGCTAACGCATGTGTAGAATGTGTTTTCCATGTTCAATCCAATAAACTGATAACAAATGGCAATGTAATATGGAAATTCAATGTATTATCAGAGGGAGGAATCAATTTTTCTTGGTCAAACCTTTTAAAATTGTTCGTTCAAAATAATAGACCAAAATATACACAACGTATTATTGGCTGTAACTTAGCTAAAAATGGTCCAATTCTGATAATTATTTTTCATTTTGTAAGGAACTTAGAAGTATTTCTAATTATCTTATTAATCATCATAAATTGTATACTTTTTGAATTATGCACTAATAAAGTTTTCTTTTCATCACAACTTTTTTTTCCTGACTTCCTGACACCTCTGTGAGAAGTGCTTACTCTTTCCACTTAAAGGAAAACACAATCTTCAAAATGATGGCTCAATCATTGGATTTGATGAAGAATTAATTAAGATATGGTATACCAACAAAAATACCTGTGAGAAATAATATATTGAAACGTAAAAGATAAAAATTTTATTTATTCAGAGTGTTGAAAATTACAAACCAAATAAAAAATGGAGATGGATATAAATCAGTAGTTACCAAGAAATCTGTGGTCTACTGAAATTGAACTATGTGCAAACCATTCTTACCCGAACTTGTGAGACGAACCTACTGAAAGAGTGTGGGAGTATAATACAAGTCCTTACAAAAACAATATGGGATCGCCCTTTGTTTCCAACTTAGAAGTAGGGAGACAGAACCAAAAGGTGTTATGTAATAGAGCTCAAATAAAGCCCTGCATATTTTGGATTGTTAATTTATTTGAACTAAAAACCTGATAGTCATCAGATAGGGAAAGATTCTAAACTCAGTAATTTCATCAATGGAATCCATCAATCGATTGAATCTAGTACTGATGGATAGCAATTTATGCAGAGTTTAGGAATGACCTGCTAGATTTCAGAGGAAGGTTACAAAATATATGAATCATAAAAACAGAATAAGAAATATCTACCTACTAAATTGTTTAAATTAAAAGCAGAAATAAAATAAAAGGAAACTGAATTTGAATTGAGAAATAAAAACTATGAGGTTATAATGAGATTACATTGAGCTGATTTATTGACTCCAAAACTCAATGAAACCGCTGAGCCATCGGTAATTCAGTCACTGAATAAAGAGACATGCTGAATTCTGTTGATAAGTTTAGGAATAGTCTGATAGACTTCCTCGCGCCTTCCTAATAAAAAGTGCTGAGTTTAAAAACTGGCCAACACCCATCTTGTTCAATGAACATTGCTTTCAAAATCAACATTTATTTGGTGACATTTTTATATATGCTGCTAGTACCTCCCATAGACCACCAGTGGTTAACCACCAATATTGACGGTTAGGAATGTGGCTTATCTTTGTCAAGTGATGACATTGAAAAAATGTTTTATTCTTGCAATTCTAATTATCATTTTTTTAAGACAGTACTGAGTTCCTCATTTCAAAATATTGCTAGAATAATAAAAAAAATTAAAGCTACTATTTTTCATAAATATTTTGTTTATGAAATTTTTTATTATATAAAGATATTATATAAAGAGCTGATAATCTACTATCTTAAACAATGCAGCACAATGAGACCTCCTTGAGAGAGTAAAATGCAGTTAGATCAACTTCTTGTCAAATTGTAAAATAAGAAAAAAATATTTGATGAAAGAATCATTTCAGAAATAATTATTTCATCAATCTTGGATTGGATTATATCATGAAATAATCATTTAACAAATAAGATATGAAAGTTAAATGATAAAATAAATTATGACCAGGTTTAGTATTAACACTAGATCCTTCATAGATTGTAGTGCTACAGAGTCAGATTATTTCTAATCAAATAATAAAAGAAAAAGAAAATTTTGTATGCAATAACATTGTGTCTTTTCACAAGTGAAATGCTTCATTTTTGTACAAATGTTTTAGTCAATATTAATGTATTTACTACGTTACAGATTTTTATATAACAAAATGGAATAAAAAGTATGCACTGAATGTCACTATGGACATTTCAAAATGATCAGTATAGTTTGATTGAAAGTCGATTCATTCTATTCATGTAGTATTGAAGTTTTCTAACAAGAGGACAATTTTCAAATAGAGTAACTTGAAGTAATAAGGACAATTTCATTTAAAAATACAATATAAATTATGAAATGCAAGAAAAATCATACATTAATATTTAAAGAGGTTTTTTTTTAATAAGGTTATAGTTATTTTATTGATATATATATATAAAAGTTTATTTTACATTTTTCCAAGTATATCCTCTTTACAATTATGTTTAGTTGAAGTAATTCTAAGATGGAAAAAATGTTTTGCTTAGAATTTAAAATAGATACGTACACATACTAATTCATACTTGCCATATTATATCATAATCATTAATATTGAAATCAAGAGATTATTTAATTTTAATATTTACAAATGATTTCAATCTACTTTCAGAAATTAAGTAAAAAAGCCACAAGCTGTACCAAGACCATACAAATAAACATACAACTATCAGAAAAAGAAATATAATTTCAATCTAATGTTAACTGAGATATTACTACTGAAGTATTTACTGAAATAGTTCATTAAGAATAAATATTGAAACCATAAAACCTATTAGTGCTTTTAAAAATAACTATATTAAATAGATATGTTTTAATAAAACAATTTTTAAAACTAAACACATTCACTAACCATGAATAAATAGATTACTTTTTTAGTTTTATAAATTTTGATATTTAGTTAGAAAAAAATGAATAAATTTGATAAGAACATTATGTAGAGGAGAAATTTAGATAGAAACATATTACTTGACTAGAAAAAAATATGGAAACTAGTCAAAATATTACTTTTAAGTGGATTACATGATTTTTCCAAATACTTCATTTGAGTTAGGTTTTAAATACATAATTAGTATATCAAGAAAGTCAGGACTAAGGACCAATAGTTCAAGCTGCCATCTATTCATGGCTTAAATTTTGCATTTAAACAATGCAATCAATTCTAACAATAGCTAGGATACTAAAATTGTCATTAATTAATTTACAAAATACTAAACTAACAATAAGTGTTGAATTGAAATAAGAAAATCAAAAGTTAATAAAGTCTTACCATGACAATTATGAAGTCCAACCAACACCAAGCATTTGTGAAATATTTTTGAAAACCAAGGGCAAGCCATTTGATTAACATTTCCAAAAAAAATATAACAGTAAAAATTCTGTCCATATAATACAAAATATCTTGAAGAATTGGTCGTGATGCCAAGTGCACATCTTCTAAAGCCTAAAATAAAGACATTGAAATGTAAGTTAATAAAAACTAATGAACTACATTTTCCTAGTAATATAAGGAAACTAATATAATTTTTTAATAAAAACAATATCCAGTTACAAATAATTCTAGTATAGATCAATTAGAAGAAAAAATACTGATGGAACAAGAATACTTATGAGAAAAAATTATTTAAATTTTATGGTGAAAATTGAGTAGCTTGTTCCAATATATAAACTATAGATTTAAAACTTGAAATAAAGAATAATAGGCATTATAATTATGGACAGTGTATTAATCATAGAGAACAAAAATCTCAAAAAGAGACATAAGTCAATTGTAAGGATACAGCTAACTGGAAGTTTCCAAACACAAAGTGTTAAATTTAATGGTAATCTAAAATACCAATAAACATATAACCTAGAAGGTAATGTCAACAATTGAGGTATAAAGTTCTCTCAAACTTACCTTTGGAAAAGCTAGGGAATTATCAGGCTGGATTTAGAAAGGAAAGATTAACTATGGACCAGCTTTTTTTTTGTCAGAATTATAGTAGAAAAGAGCCTTGAATATAAGACGGTAATTCATTACCTTTTTATTGACTTTAAGGCGGCCTATGATAATGTGGATAGAATAAAATTGTACAGCGCCATGGAAGATTTAAACATTCCAAGGAATCTAATACGTCTCGTCAAGATGACAATGGAGATTTCCAAGTATGCGGTACATGTTGGAACAGATACATCGGAATCTTTTGGTGCCAACAGCTTCCGTCAAGTTTCAACTTGAAAGCCTTCTGTGCTCGAACCACACCCTGAAGATGACCTACATATTTGGGTTGAAACATTGGCACATATAAAAAAATTGGTATAATGACTGCGTCCTGACTATTTATCACCCATGATATGTAGAACAGTCGACTAGCTTCCTTCAATAAGATAACTTACATTTTGTATGTAGTTTTTTAAAAAATTAAAGCTTGGATCATCATTTATTTTGACTTTTTCAATTACTATGAAATTCATAGTTTCCGACCCCTATGGTTGGTCTTTTTGACAATCTAAGTTAAAAGAAAAATACTATAGATGGTATGCTATACTAAAAAGAAAAACCTCGATTTAAAGCTATCCAATCCTTCTCCTACAGAAAAAAATATCCCAGAATAACTTTCAGTATAAAATCACTTTTATAAGTAATTTTCAGAATTTTCTCTTGAATCCAATGTCCCATGAGAATAATTATAATTCACTGCTTAACTTGGACATAAGAAAAAAATCATTTCTGATTCTAGCAGAGATTATTATTGAAAAAACCAAATAAAGAAAAACAACAAATAAATAATGAATGCAAAGAGAGATATATAAATTGAATATAAGAGAGTTTAATTTTTCTTTTAAGCTCATCTAAATAGGTATTAAAACAGTAAAAGAAGAGAATGGAAAGGCAGGAGTAGTAAAATACCTAGGTAGGAAATTACGGAAATAGAAATGGTCACACAAAGATGGCTATATTAAAGAGAGTAAATATAGGCCAGAGAGATAAAATCTGGTGTTGTGAAGTAATCTCAACGAACTAAACTGATAGTTAATAAATCTAAATCATCACAAAATGGATTATTAATAAAAAGGGACTGTTGGTGTATTATCTTTTAATCTAGATTTAAACTTTTAGTAGATTAAGAATCTTAATTTTTCATTAAATAAGATTAAGAACTTATGAGATAAATGTGTACAGAAATTTATTATTTGTGATATGTTATTAAATCTTAAGAATAATACTATCTAGTTGCTATTGCTAATTAGACTTTACTATACTCACCAAAGCTAGACTGCTGAGCAAAATCATAGTAATAACAGCTGTTTCAAAATATTTGTTCTCTATCAGTTGAAATGTTTTGAGACGTAGATTGGCCCAACCTTGCCAAAATGGGGCATCATCATCTCCCGCTAAGAATGGAAATCTTTTATAACAATGATCAGGACAACAATCTGCTGGATAATCAGCCATCAACAAATCTTCTCCACCAGCTTCTATGACAATGTCTTCTTCTTCAATATCTAAAGAGAAAGAAGTTATATATAGCAAAAAAAATAAGCCTTTTTTGGAATTTCAAATAATAATTCTGAATGATCAGAGAATAAGGAAACAAAATAATGATACAGTTGGGAAAACATGACTATAAAAATGAAAAAGTAGGGTACAAAAAAAAAAGATTAGTCAATAAAGAGAGAGGATTTTAAAATAATATTAAGGAAATCAGAGTAAGTGGAAGATATGTATGGTTTATTAATATTATTATTGAAAAGGAGTCTTTTTTCAAGGCTGGACTCCAGAGCTTACCACCAAATATTAATCAGTCAGATTAATCTACTTAAGGAGTGAGTGTGCCCAGCCATTATTTTGTTTTTGTTTATATGCGACTAATAGACTTGAGACTTTAAATTTACAAATTTCCATTCAGTTTAAATGGAAATTAAAAAAGTTCTACAGTCTAGTCAAATGACATCTATTTCATTAGAGAGAAGTCTTGAAACCGATATGAATACTTATAATACGGTATTTTTCTTCAATTTATGTTCTCCAGTGGAGAGACCCTAATGATGGGATCTTCCAGTCCAATCCAGGCTACCCAAATATATTTTCTAAAGAGTGTGGAAAAAAGAAACTGAAGAAACACAAGAATTTTTTACGATGAGATCAAGTCTAGATATCGTTATCAAAGAACAATAGTAATGATTTTGATGCTATTCATATGGATATAGATTTGTTAGGGAAGAATATGAGGCTATAATGGAGGTATAGAAAGATCAGGGTATAGAAAAATATTGTTACTTTCCTTTTGATACCAAGTAGATTTTGTATGAAATCATTGTATAGCTCTGGAGTCAGGGTCTAAAAAGTGACCTTGTCGCAGGTAAAGGTATGAATGTAAATTACCTAAGTGTATGGTTATTATAAGTAAAATTAACCTTATCTGCCAATTCAGAGTTGTTGCTTTCAAAAATGGTGGCAGATTTACAAGATTTTAAATTTAAGTTGGTTAAGTGGTATGGTTGAAAACCATTGTCAACAAACGCTGATTTTTACCAAATTTGTCAAAAACTAAGAAAAATCACTATAAATAGCTCTGCAGCTTGGAAATGAGGCCCCTAAGAGAAAAAACTCATAGAATAAAAATTGTAGAGCATCAAATTTGGTGTCCTCTGAGTACCAACAGTTTTAATGTAGATCACTTACTCTGCCCAAAATCGATAATCTCCCGATGGCTGGAAATTGGCAATGAAGGTATGTGTGATTTTGAATATTTCAACAGTATAGGTGTCTATTTTAATGAGTTATTCTTATTTGGAGTCTGTTAAATGCAGTGTAGGAGCTTTTCCACTGCTCAGCAGCATTGGATTTTGAGAAACGAAGTATCAAAAGAAACTGAATATCATGAAGAAATAACAAATCCCAATTTGAGAAACATAATTGATTTACATTTAAAATGTTGGTACTCAGTGAATGCAGAATTCTATACTCTGCAACATTTATTTGATCAGATTTTTCACTTAGGGGACTCATTTCTAAGTTTAAATAAATAGCTACAGAGCTATTTATGCTATTTTATATGGAATATATGCATACTAATTCATATGTTTTCCTCCCATTTCCAATAATAATTATGGTCGAATTTCAACCATTGGGCAAACACTAGTATGAACAAAGAGAGTAAAATGGTTACCTGGCTCATGCTCAAGATCTTCTTTACTTAAATCTTTTTTCTCTTCTCCATCAAGGCTCTCCATACTTCCTTTATGACTTTCATCTTTATTCGGTCTATGTTTATGACTGCCATATGACTTATTACTGAAAATAATTAAGAATATGAATAATTCCATAAAATATGTTCATAAATTATGCCACTTTAGACTAAAAGTGAAGAGGAATATGAAGTATTGAAAATGCAAGTTTTTAATAAGTACTTCAAAAGTTGGACAGTGAATAAATAGCTATCCTTTTTTACCTTCTCGATAATAAGTAAGATACATTTACAAAAATGAATGAAATAAAATAATAGTCAATAACTCCTGGCTATACAAATTAAAAATAATACAAACTAATAATATAATTTCTGTACAGTCAGTTTTGTGAATTAATTTTTTTAGAAAACAAACTTATGTTCAAGTAGATTGGATATTGTAAAATAATAACAATAATAAAATAAAACAAAAAAATAACAACTTCTTTTAAGTCAATTATTTATTATAGGTATTCTTCACTTAAATCGGTTATTTAAAAAATGATACATATGATTTTTACTGGTTTTGGGTAGAGACATGTATGGGTAGATTATTTGTAGACAGATCCTTTAATGCAATGAAATACATTTCATAAATTGTGTAAATATTTATTGTTCACACAATATATTTTTTGCTGACTTTTATCTTTGAAAATTGTAGTTAAAAATATTTTAGATGTTTTCCAAATCATGAAAATCTAACATGTGATGTTTCTCCAACAACCGATTCAGTTGTAACATGATAGATATGTGTTTTTATTGCAAAAGCCTTTAAAATATAGGGTATATAAAAATCGGAAAGTTGAGATCTCATATTTAAGGGGTATATAGAAGAACACTGGATAATGAGGTCAAGAATATGGGAAGGTTTTTTTGTTCTCAAGGATTGGAATAGAAGGAAGTATTATCTTTAGAAATCATCAGAAATAACCATATTCCAAATCAGAAAATAACCAGCCTTGCTTGGAATACCTGGGAAATATGTGAGATTATCAGGGAAAATCTTAAATAAATCTTTGTTAATTATTTCAGTATCATCTCGTGCTCATAATCCTCCATATACCAGGCATCTCTAGTCAAAGTGAGGGAGAATGAGAGAGGAAACTAGATGATGGGTTAAGGGAAATGAATCACACAATTTTAGGGCTGTTTAAGTATTGAAATTGAATTTCAGATGATTTGGAACATATGGTTATTGCAGTTTAGGTATTGATCAAAGGTACCAAGGTTTTTTTAATAAAGTTTTGGGAGTGAATAGGAGTGTTGTTGAGATATCGTCGAATGGGTCTAATTTGAAATAGTAAGAGAGGAGGAGAAGGCACCTCTTTCAACTGATGAACTATTACCTTTTTGCGGGTAGGAGGGAAGGTGGTTTTGGAGAAAGATATTATATCAATGGAGGAGGGTGGGGAGTATTACTAGAAGGCAGTCTAATAATTTTTACTAGAATTGGGTATTTGTTCCGAATTTATTAGAGAAGCAATCAAGTCATCAGGAGTAATGTGAATGAGTAATGCAATAAAATCATTCGGGATCAAATGGTGATTGTGGGATCGAAAAAGGAGGAGAGAGGAAGTATGAGGTTTATTTGTAGGAAAATCAGCAAAAAAAGAGTTTACGTCATCAGGTGAGACTATAAAATATTGTATTTTTAATACTTAGTTCAAAAGGCCCAATATTACAATACTTTTTTAATAAAGAGAGATCAGATAATACGATTTTAGGATAGTTAGGTTTAAAAAGAACTTCTCCTTTTTTAAAAAATCAGTATTCTAAGTTGCAATAAAACAGTTTTGTAAATCAGAAGAGACAAAGATGAATAGTTAGTTAAACAGTCAAGGGACTGTTTTAATTCCTAAAAAGTTTTTCATCTAAAGTTTTTAATGAATTTTGTGATAGATTTAGGAAATTCCAAAAAAGTTGTTAAAATTTCTAAAAAACATTTTGCTTGAAGTTCAATACCTAAAGATTTCTAAGATTCTAATGTGATATCACATTTTCAAAAATATAAAGTTTTGGAACAGACGTTATAAGGCAGTGTGAACAAACCATAGGGAAAACTGATGATAGGAAAGAATAAAATATAGCAAGTGTGAGAATATCAAGTAATTCAATTATAGGTTTAAAATATCTATAATTCTTCTTCATAGTAAAAACATTTATGGATAATACTCGACATATCAATACAAATAATTTTAGATTCTGAAGAACCTATTTAAGACATGGGGGCGTTCCGTCCTTGAATTGAAGGGCAGATAACAAATGTAATTTCTCCTTTCTGTTCAGGAAATGAAAAATATATAAGATTCATAAGTAATACAGAAAGGGAAGATTAAATATAGTGCTACTCTTGGAAATAATCAAGAATAAAATATGCAAGGCGAAGATGAAGAAAAAAATTAAGTTTCTAGAATACAAGGAGAAAACAAGTAAAATATATATGAAAAAATAAAATTTTCTTGACTTCTTAAATAGTATTCATAAGTTAATATTTTATGAAAATGTTATTAATCAAATTTATGATAATATTTAACTGAATTTGAAATTTATGATAATATTTAACTGAATTTGAAATTTATGATAATATTCAACTGAAGTTGAATAATAAAATGAAATTCAGAATAAAGAAAATTATCCCATCAAAAAAGTTGAGATTAACTGGTTATCTATGAAAATACTTATATGAAATATTAGCCAATTTAGTAGTTGTTTAACAGTTAGAGTACTTTTTACTTGTCAAACAAACACTAAAGATATATATAAATCAATGAGATCTTTATTATAATATTGAATCCCAGCCGCCTCTTCCCAACATGACTAGTCACAATCAATTAGGGAAGTTAATCGATTACTTTCTAAATACAGGAGGAATCCTACTCTTCAAGTATACTAATATATAAAAAAATAGTAAACATTTTTTTAAATAAAAGTTTTAACAATTATGAATTTAGTATTGTAAAATTTATGTTAAAATTGATAAATAAAAATTGTACACGTAGGGGAAACTATAGAGTCTAAATGAGAATACATTAAATTTAATATTTAAGAAAATAATGATTTTTTTTTTTAACTCATAAACATGATGTGACAATGTTAAATTATAATTAAATACTTTAACTTTCAATACAAAATTGCTAAGATTTCTATAATTAATTTTTGAAATACCTGTTCAGGTCCATATCCCTTGGTAGATACCTTAAAAAATAATTCTTGATTAATCTATCAGTAAATAAAGTTACTTTATAAGTTAAAAAAAAAACAAATAAGTATGTTGAATCATAAATTACGTAATCTGCCAATTTTATCCAGACAATTTAAAAAAAAAAAGAAAATAATTTATAATCTAATATTAATCAATATTAGTCCAATTTGGACCGATAACGAAGATATCGAAACAATATGCATTAAAGATCTTTGTATAATGGCAGCCAAAAGTATTTGCATAAACCAATTTTTGGTTTTAAATTTATAGTAGAACAAAATAAAATTATATGAATTTTTTAATGGAATTAGATTTACTTAGACAGATAAGAAAATAAACAATCAGATTAACTTAATCACTTTGTAAATAAATAAGAATGAAAAAAAAATTACATTACTAAATTATTTACACAAGTTCATACTTGTCTACAATATAAAATGGCATTTTTAGGGAAATAGCATTCAAGATTAGTCGAGTCCTAAATAAATATTGCTATGAAATCTTTTATTTCTTAATGTTCCGTATTCAATGTCTATTATGATCCTAGAAAATTTGGTTTTACTCAGAAAGTGAAAAAACACATTAAGAAATCGGTAGACCCTTAAGTTTGAATGGTTTACTATATTATTAAAAGGTATGTTGAGACACAAATCATCTCCAACAAATCACAAAAAGGATGCCCTAAGGTATTGATGCATTTAGAGTGCAAGGACATCATCATAGAAGCTACAAACAATGCGTTCACTAGAGCTGAAGATTCACAGATATGGTGGTGAGTATATCTAATATGCCATATGTCAAAATTTTGTGTTTAGAGAGAGATTCAACTAATGTATTATACAACGTATCGCATAAGTAAAGGGAAATATTTAAAGAGGCGAAATTAGACCTTAAGTTTTTTGTTGAATACGTTGAGATAACTAAAAAAATATTTAATTAAGGTAATTATTTTAATAAACTAGAAAACAAATTCCTTCTATAGCAAGTAGAGTTTGTCTTAAAACCATTCAATGGAAACAGTTAAGCAGGTAAATTACAAGTTCTGTTTTTATTAAACTTATGGATTAATCATGATTTTTTAGACAAATGAAAATCCTATCGGTGCAAAATAGAGGGGAAATCAATGCCATTTTAAGATAATAGCTGATTATTAACTGTAAATTAAAAAAAAAATAATCCACCAATTACTTTCATGAAGAGAGAGATAAATACTTTATTTAAATCAGCGCTGCCCTCCTATTTAGGGTTGCTTGATACATAGCATACTCATCAATCCTTTTTCTGGACATAGTACTTAATTATATTTGAATCACACATTGTTTATATATATACAAATTCTCTTTCTCCTTTTCCATATACTCCTCATAAACAATATTAATACTACACTGTCAACATAATCACTATTATAAAATATACATATTGTGGTGAAAGTGATACAGCACTAACTCTGAAATATTGGGAAAAAAAAAAGATATTCTAAATCCAAAATTAGGTAATTAAAACGCACACATGCTAAATAACATAACCCTATGAAAACAGACAAAAAGATATGATTTGATAAATTAAAATATTTAAAATTGAATAAATAAATAATAATAAATATCCATAATTAACTCCTAATTACAATATATGTGGTGATGAATGATCCCAAGGGGGTCTAGAATAATGCTCTCGGCGAGCACTGCAAGCTACCTGACTGACATCAACATCTAATTCCTCGAAGAAGCTCCTTGTTCTTTTAGGAATCATTCCGCGAGACCCAAACCAGAGGCCTCTCATGGTGAACTCTGTCTCTCCAAAGGTCTCGCAGAATTTTTCTTTTAGGAAATATATTTTCTTCTTTTCTTTTTCTACTTCATTCGCCTGATCGATGATTGCTTTCAAAATGAACAGTTGGGTCGAAGGTCAATTCAGTTCTGGAGAATGCAACTATATCCGCATATCTTATTGAGCCATCACTATTGATACAATAGACCTCACCGCGGCATGTGAATTCCCTTTCACTAAGGAGTCTCATAAACTTCAATTTCACCCTATGGTCCCGGCGTGTTATGAGGAAGGAGTCGTTGTAGCATTTTCCCAGTCTGGTGTTTCAGACTCTTTGCTGCATTTGACAGAGAGATCCAACTTCCATCGACTGTCCACTGGCTCCTGGGACTCCACATAACGGTGCATAGTTGATGTTAAGTTTTTAGACGTTGGAACATTCTGATAACGAAAGTACTTGTTCCTGGCGTATATATTTATTAGATTCGGGGTCTCTTTAAAATGCCTAACTCCAACGCCTTGCCACCTGCAACTAGCCCATTCTTCAAAAGAATTCTCTGTGACAGAATATCAAATCACATAATTTTTATACAACTAGAGGTGAATCTCAACATTTCTGTAACAAACTCTAACTTAATTAAGATAGATTTAAAGCTTATTAAACAAGGAAGTTCTTTTAAACATGGGATATCTGTAGTCTAGCTGGTTGATAAAAACAGAAAGGAAAAAAGCAAATAATCCATGATTTTAAAAAGAGAACTTGGCATAGTTTATCTTCTTAAAAGTCCCCTTTGAATAGTTTTAAAAAGACAAATTTTACTTGCGTCATGGAGATTTTGTCAAGTTTACTACAAAGTCATTGCTAATTACCTAAATTTAATATTTTTTTAGTTACCCCTTTTTATTCAACAAAAAACATGACTAGTTTAAAAAATAAAAAATTTAAATTTTTTTTGCAGAAAATGTGAATGGCTCATATAATTTTTTTTTTTGTAGCTCTAAAGGTCTACTAACATTCATTTAAATATTTTCATTTACTTTATGGCATTATTTATGGAAGCAACAGAAGGAAGTATGGCAGATTTTTTGTACGGCAGAAACCAAATGAAGAATCTAAACGATTAAATATTCAATCCAGAGAACAAAATGTAAGCCATCATATAATGGCTTGAAGAATTTCTACTATCATTTAAAAAACAGCCATCATGAATTATGGTTTAAAAATTCATAGATATTTTAACAAGGTAGCAACACTAAGCTTCTGGAACATAAAAAATGTTTTATAATCACATTTTATATAAATTTGAATTTCAAGCCAAAATTTTGGTTGTGCAATTACTTTTACTGACAATGGATAAACAATAATATATGAATGGCAGGTCTTAAATATGAAAAAATAATTGATTTTTATCAGCTATAAATTTTGTTTTAAATATTTACCTACCCACTTAAATAACATCCAATTAATGTTTTTATTTTTATTTTAAAAGCTGTTTTAAAATTAAAAACTTTTTTTATTTAGAAGACATGATTATTTAGATAAGATTTTTTTATGAAATTTTATTGAGGATCGATCTTTTGAGCATAAAAAAAAAATAATAAGATTCAAAAATAAAGAAATGTATACCTAATCTGTACAGAAATTAATCTAACTAACAATAAATGTAATTCATAAATATTGATAAATCTCTTGGTTAAAGAAAAGCAACCCAAGAAGAGATGAAGAAACTTAAAGAGAAGAGCGAGCCAAACCTCAAGTTTATTAAAGCAAGCGATGTCTTTTTTTTTAAGTTTGAAGTTTATTATAGTTCTTGTTTTTTAAAGGAAAAGTTATTTGAGATCCAAAAATCATTATACCAAAATAATTGTTTTAAATTATACTCAATTACAACAAAGTAACTGGGAATAATTTAATTTAATTCAATCGGGAATAGGAGAGAAAATAGAAAAATGAATTATATTGATATCAGGCCTCACACGAATAGATAAAAGCTAACTGCCAACATGCCTATTGATCATAAAGTAAATCATTTTTACTTTAGAATTATTTATTATTTACTTTATGATTCTGTACTAAAAAAAGAAATACATAAAATAACTGTCCTCCCTATTTGTGAGTTGAATAAACTTAATTTTGTTCATTCATGTTTCTGTTTTTATTAACATAGGGAAAGGTTTCCCGATTTTCCATTAAAAATTAATAGATTTTTTTATTGATTCTTGAAAATTGTAATATCAAATATAACATTGAATTGTAAGACAATAAGTCACTAAAGAGTTATTTCAGAGGTAAACTATCATAGTCCATTATTTATAATTTTACAACCACATAACTCTATGTAGGATCCTTTTCTTTAGGATAACAATTATACTTTAAAATTTTAAACTTTAATTGATATTTAATAAATAATTTTACAATAGTTTACCTTTTAAATGCTTATTTTTAATACTAGTTATCATATAGTTATATTTCCTCAGTTAAACTGAAAACATGAAACATATACACACAAATAATAATAATATTCATTTGATATGAATGATAGAAATATTGATTGTCTATATCAAGGACATAGGCTTAATTTAGTTCTATCAATACACAATTATAATTGATAACTGAGGGGCATATTTTTCCTACTAAAGCAAACCTGACTTTGATCACTATCATTCTAACCCCCTCAATTAGTAAACTCCATCTGAATCAATATTTTAATTTTGAATAGATTCTACACTCAATTTAAGGAGGCCAGGACTGTCTTCAAGTTGAATCTTAAATACACATACAACAGAGATGTAGAAATAACCGGAAAAAAAACCTCTTGAAAGGTAAACTTCAACATTCAAATATAGATAAAAACATTTAATAATTTCAACTGCAAAAGGAAATCAGCTAGGAATCTCTGGCAGCGTAAGAGACAAGATCATGAAGAAAATAAATATATTCTCATAAAGTGTCAATATGAAGATAAGATAAGATTATACACAAAGTTTCTATGGGGCTATAAGACATAGTAAGCAGAGATTTAAGCCAACATAAGGTCTTCATAAAGGACAAGAATGACAATCCTCTTACTAATCAGGGAGAAGTAATAAGCAGGTGGACTTGGCATTTTTGGAATCTGCTGAGTAAGGAGGAAGAAGAGGTTAACAAAAATTTAAATCCTCAAGACTTCGATTTAGATCAGTCTCAAAATGAAAATGGAGATGACATAGAAGCACTTCCTCAGAAAGAGGAAGTTATGAAAGTACTAGTCAGCAAGAAACATTATGTAAAATGCTGGGGTTTGACTGTATATCAGTGGAACTATTGAAGTATGACAGAGATGTAGTAATCAGAGAGCTATATGAAATAATTTTTGATGTGCGAATAAGTGAGAGAATGCCATCTGAATATTATATAGCTCTCTTATGACACTTCTAAAAGTAAGGTGACAGACTGCAATGTGAAGTATAGCCTTCCTTCAATTCTTTATTTATTTACACAAAAAAATAAAAATATGAGTGTTTATTGTTTATAAGTAAATGCTCATGCTGTAGGGATTTTAATCAATACACAGCTTCTCATTATATTTTCTAATAGCTATTTTTTTATTATTTACTGCTTTATGGCACAAAAGTAAAATTCAAATTAGTAGTCTTTATTATATCCAGCTATAAAAGTGATGCAAACAATTTTTAATGATGATCTTTATTATTTATTTAAGAAATCTATTTCAATTGGTCTAAGCCAAATTAATCTATTCAGAATAATATATTAACTGAATTAAAAAATCCACAGCCTAAATAAAGTGGAAAATTATAAAAAGGTCATTTTATAAGACTTTTAAAGCAAAATTTTTCCTCAAAACCCCCTTGAAAACTTCATGGCCTCCTCAAATAGACTTTGAAACTTATTAAGAACAATTAATAAATATGACTTCTATAAATATGAACAAAAATAAATAATTATTGAATATAACCTAAATATTTACAAACCTAATAGAATCTTCATCGTATCTTGTCCTAATATATTCAGAATCAATACGATTGTCCTGATGATTGCCTATAGAATTTCCAATATGATTCTTATGTACTTTGTTGAGCTTACTCTTAAGATCTCCTGCAATATAACAAGAAAATATCATGATTAAACTTTATTTATAAATATTTTATGATATATTTGCTAATAATATGTAGTAATATGGTCTAGAAGAGGTGATAGCACGTTTTTGTAGTCCATGACTGGGTAGGGCGACTTAACAAATTTTAAAAATTACAAATTCAGAAAGGGCCTGTTGGAATATATAGCAAAATATAATATTCTGACACTACTTTTTGCAGGACATTTAGGAAAACAAAATTAAAATGTTTACTTTATGAGTGAAAATAAATACTTGCATTTTCAGCTTATGATTACGTATTGTAAAAGTTACAGGTACGAAATCAGGCTTACGCATATATAATCTTCTCCCTCTTGTTAGGTCTAATGATGGACCCACTTTGAACTAATTGAAAATCCAATAACTGAATACAAAAAATTAATAAAAGTTTAGGTTATCACATGTGTAAAATTCTTCAGAAGACAAAATGTGTCTAAGTATCAAATTTGGCATGACATTTTGAAATTTACTATATAGTTAAATGAATTAAAATTATTATTTAAAAAAATGTAGATTTAAATGGACTTCCAACCTTATTACCCAAATGTCTAGGTAAAGAAATAATGATTTTTATAATAACTTTAAAGATCAAAATATCTTTGGAGTGGGAGGAACCTCAGACAGCATGGCTTTTCCTGGTGGACAATCACAAGGAGATGCTTTGGCATGTCTCCTCTTTAATCGCCATCTGGAAAAAACTGTTAGAGAATCAGGAATTCAGACAATGGGTACTATTTTCAACAGAACAGTTCAGCTCTTAGCATAGATATAGATATAGTTGGTAGATCATATCAGGCTGTATAATAAGCATTCCTGTCTCTCGAGCCTGCGGCAAGACTTCTCGGCCTAATTGTCAACCAAGACAAAACAAAGTATATGGTGTCTGATCAGCTCCCCCAACAGATCGGTATCAAAGTTGCATTTGGTCCCTGCATGTTTGAACAAATATCGGAATTCACATATCTCTGGGTACACAAGTGACGTGCGACAATAGAATCTCAGCGAAGACGCAAAGAAGAATCCGCTGATCTCAGCGGATCACTGCTATTATTGTCTTCACTCCCACTTATCGAGCAGATTTCGACCTCGCAACACACAAAGGTTATTCTCAACAGAACCCTCATCCACCCTGAGGTTCTGAGACATCTTATGGTTCTGAGACCTGGATTACCACAAAGGCAGATGAACAGGACTTGCTTCCTTTTCAGAGGAAAATCCTTCGCTGAATTTATGAGCCCATCTGTGAGAACCGAAAATGGAGAAGGCAAAGAAATAGAGAAATCTATACTCTCTGTAACGAGCCTGATGTAGTTCCGATTATCAAGGCAGGAATATTAAGGTGGGTGGGACACTTCACATGGATGCCAGAGCAATCATTCCCGAAGAAAATAATCACTGTGTCACAGATGACTTAAGGTCCATTGGAGTGAGAAAGTGGATTGCAGCAGCACAGAATAAGGACGTATGGCGATAGCTGTTGGAGGAAGCTAAGACCCACTTGCGGGTTCTAGAGCTGAATTAATTAATGTTCATGTCTTATCACTAAAAATGTTTCAGATTAAAGTAAATTTTTATAATTAATACAAAAATAACCACAAGACAGAACATAAATGTTAGGTTATAATTTAGAAAAATTTCAAACCACACAGCCTCATGTCTCCAAAATGTAGACAAAGAAAATATCTGTCAATTTTTTGCCAATTCAGGAATCGTCAGGACAGAAAAGAACAGCATATCGAACATCACTCCGTGAAATCCAAATGATGTTCGATTACCTGTTCTTTTCTGTCCAGATGATGCCTGAATTGACGGAACGTTGACGGGTTTTTTTCTTTGCATGCGATTAGGAGATATAAGGCTGTGCGGTTTGGAATTTTTCATATAATAACCTGATATTAAAGTAAATAAATAAAATATTTAAAAAATGGTATAAAATAAATTTAATAACTGAAATCCATTAAGTGGAGAACATAACAGGGATGATGCCATATCTATCACAAAAGCATATGATTATATTTATATCTAGATGAGTTATGATACATGGGTCATTCTAATATTATTTGATCATTTAGCAATTTGGGTTAAAAAAAGATCAACTTATTGAAGAAAAATTGATCTCAATTATTAGTTTAGTTGCCCTAGATAACAAACTTGAGCTTCAATAGTCAGTTTCATTATCATTCATTATGCTAATTGAACAATGTTAAGTAAAATAATGGTAACATTCGTTATGCATCATTTTTGTGAAGTAGCATATTTTGGTAGAAAAAAGTTATAGTCTCCAGCCAGCTCTCTAATGCCCCAATATTACACATGGACTGATAGCTGGTGCTACAGACAAATGCTTTTAAACCATTTTCAGACACATTAAAAGAAAAGCCGGTAAACATTCGTTGCGATGTTTTTATCCAAATTTTGGGGACAAATCAATTTTCCTACGTCACAATCAAAGTATTTGAGGCAACTAAAAAAGGTATCTATAATTCAAAATATCATCATATAACAGTGAAATTCCCCATGTTTAAAAATTAATGGATTCAGATTATGTCATCTCAAAGCACGAAGAACTTCACATCCTTACCTTGGGCAGTAACAGTAACATTTGTTATGTTTTTTTTACATTTACATTGAGATATTTCTAATTGTAATTGAGGTAGATTTATTTTAATGTCAGCATTCTATTCTATTCTTTAGAAAAATACAAAAAATTAATATCATTACTTTTTTACTTTTTTTTCAACCCGAAAAACGAATGTAAAGCCCGGGAACATCAAATGGTCAAGTAATATTAGAATGACCCACATATGCTTCAATGGTTAATACCTCACCACTGCCTTAAAGTATAAATTATTTCTAGAATAATACAAATAGCAAATGCAGTTACCATGAATAGTAAACTCCATTCCATCACCTATCGCCACTTCCAGTTGGTCCTTTTTGTCTCGATAAACCATCCCATCAGCTCTGATTTCATCACCACCAATGTCTTCCAGTTCTCTGTCTCGCCCTCCTGAGCAGCAGGACAACAACACTGTTCCTTTTCAATTACTAATAAAGTTAAAAAGTTGCGCAAAAAAAAAGAAGACAACAAAAAGTGCAGAAAAAGAATAAGAAAGAGAACAGCAGATAAGGATATATTTAAATTTAAAGTTTAAGTATTTAAAGTAGTAAAACGATTTCATTAAACATACTATTGGGGATGGTGATTAGTACAAACTGATCTCTAATAAATATTTAAAATTCCTAAACAACAACCATTTAAATAAATGTAAAAATGATTTATAATAATGGCAAAGAGCAGTGATTATATCTTAAAGAGTTGGGCATAAATTATCCGATTGATGAATAACGAATAAATTTTAATTCATAAAAAAATTCATGACTAATGAATTTTTTTCATTTGTTAGTCACGATAACAATGACAGCTTTTCATCTTCTAACTCCCAGCTGCCATAGGTCAGCCTCAACGTTGTTGAACCATCTCATCCTAGGAAGTCTACATCTTCAGACACCTCCTGGCTTCCTTTACATTAATTGTTTTAGAGGGCAATCGTCCTCCATACGTTCCACATGACCAAGCCACCTCAACCTCCCCTTTTTAAGCATGGCCACTATATCAGGCTGTTCATATAAGCCTCTCAATTCATCATTCTTTCTAATTCTCCATTCTCCTTGAGAGCAGACTGGTCCGTGTATTTTTCTGAGCACTCCTCATTCCCAAGAATTTAGTTGCCTTTTCATTTCCCGCATAAGGATCCATGTCTCTTCCACAGGTGACTATAGGAAAAAAAATGGTTTTATAAATAATCACTTTGGCACTCCATGAAAGATCTTTGAACCTTAATGCCTTATGAACGCCGAAGCAGCAACAATTTCCTGCTGTTATTCTAGTCTCAATTTCTTTGCTCTAATTTTTTTTTGTTACATGGGATCAAAGGTATTTAAAGGCCTAACAAACTGGGAAACTATCACTAATATTAATAGATTGTAGCCTTGGTGGTGGGTTTTGTGTGCTCCTCATATACTCCGTTTTTATCTTATTGATATGGAGTCCTCTTTTATTGCCCTCCCATTCCAACTCTTCCAATACCCCAAGTTTTATCATTCGAATTCTTCTGAAAGTTTTATCATTCAAAGAATTTGGCACACTTTAAAAATAAATGATAACTAGATAGTAATGTATCTGAATAAATGTCCCCTTAAAAAGTTGGTTATTCTAATGAAATTTGAAAACTTGGTTCAATAAAACTTTAAAAAATTACGAAACTTTATTGTAGTTTCTAAAGTTTTCTTACACCTATAATGAAAATAAAGTCAGTTAATTACAAGAAGTCACTAAGTACACTTTTGATTTAGCTTTTCTTTTCACATATTTGTGAATTTCAGTTATATTCGGAAAAACTAATCAAGTGAACTGTCTCTTCTGTGGCTCTAGTGTAGTCTCAGTTTACACTGGATTCTAATACTGGTGGTGTGGCTAGGAAAAAAGCACTGAGATCTTCTGGAATTTTCCTTTGCTTTCGTTTCTTGGATAAATGTAAATATTGTATATGTATGTGTATATAGATACGAATCTATTTTACAGTTGTTTTTTAAAAATTTATTTATATACATCCTTTTATTTGTGAAGTTCATATGTTAATTTCCTTTTATCATTATTAATATGTATAAAAATAACACTGACCCTATTATGTGTCAAAAATAGTTAAACTAAGTATACAATGTGTTGACTTCATATAGGGAAAATTTTATTAAATTAATGAGATATTTGATTTTCTAAAATACTACTTAATGACTTTTTGCAATAAACTAGAATAAACGAGAAACCTCTTAAATACACCACTTATCTGCCTAAAGTAACCTTAATATTCATGATTATATTTTTATTTGTTTTCATTGATTAAATAATATTATTCCTGCACATTTTGGTATGCTAAAGCATTTAAGCAACTCAAAGAATCAGCTAATACTTTTAAAGCAATCAATCATACCTGTATTAAGAAACATCATTAAAACTTAAGTGACCTTTTGAATGTTGGATTGGGTATTAAAGTGAGATTGTCAATAATAAAATTCCTAGTCCTTAAATTTATTTCATTAAAAAAAATTTAACATTTATTTATTTATTTGAACAGCAACTGATTCCTCATTCAAATAACTTATTGTAAATTGAATTGACTGTAAGTTCATATTCCCAAACATCCAACATTCATTCACCAGGTCAAGTTCGTCTTTCAGAAATGAATTAAAAAACATAAAACATAAATAGCAGATATAAAAATCTGTAAATATAAGCATTTAATATACAAGAAAATATTAAAATGTTAGTAGTAATAACAATAAAGCAAAGATAATTTACAATGTTAAACTAAACAGCAGATTAAAACTGAAAAAAATAGCAGTTCAAGTTAGATATATTTGTAGTGATATTGCAGTATAATTTTCATTTCTGAACAAATGAAATCAATAAAATTAATTTGAATTTTGTGCATAAATTTAAACTAAAGCCTGTCAGACAAATGGGAACCTAGTTCGCTGACATTGGTACAGTTGACTAAGTTAAGAGCTAACGCTATCTATACACAGCAGATTTGTCCATAAAGCCAGTTCATTTCTGACTGGTAGACACTCTGAGTTTGGTAGAGGAATTGAACAAATGTTTTCCAACTCGATAAAGGATCAATATGTATCAAGTTTGTAAACCTCCACAAATGGACAAAAATTATTGAACTTGGATTGTGGAAGCCAACTGGGTTCCCATATTTGTAGCAGGCTCACTTAATTTTAATGTGCCTTTTAAAATAAAACTTAGATAATTGGAAGGAGAGATTAATATTATGGTATATGTATATTAAAAATGGATGAGTTCAAATACTAATAATACATACATGATAGCTAAAAAAAAATTTAATAAGTATGCTTAAAGAGGATAGCTCTCAACATGGAAGCTATTGATATCTTATAAGAATCAACAGAACCTTAAGAAAACACAAGATGCAAGAAAGAGAATGCATAAGATGCTCAGAAAAATCAAGAGAGTGCATTTACAAAGTCAGATCATTCACTTTTTGTTATGGCACATTGCACATCGGCCTAGCCAGGGCTATTGTACGCATCAATCTGTCCAATATTTACATAAAACATTATTTTGGTAGGATTAGCAAACTATAGAAGACTTGTGGGATTGACAAGCTCGCAGTTTTTTGGATCTATCAATCAATCTTCTCCAAATATCCAGTCGCTATCAATCAGCTCCAATAGGATAAGTAGTCTTAAATTAATTCTCAAGTACAATACCATCAGACTGAAAAACATCCTTTCTTAACTTTCAGAAAGCACATGATTCAGTTTACACTATTCAAAACACTGAAAGTATTTGGAGTCGATCAGAAAACACTTAACCTTTTTAAGTTTACACCAACCAACATCTCTTCAAATGTTAAATTTCAATGGAAAAATATTTCAAGTCAGAACAGGACTCAGACACTGTGGTGGTTTATCTCTAACACTCTTCAATGAACACAAAGCGATTGGCTAAATCAATAAACTTAAAGAACACACTCAGAACAATAAAGGAAAAACACACTCTTAGGAAATGAAATGAATTAAGAAGGAACCTCCACTTCAACATAATTAAATACGCATGGAAAAAAAGGGAAAAGGATTACGAAGTAAAAAAAAAACAAAAAAAAAAATGATATTTATGTGGTTGATAGCTAGTCTGTAAGCAAAATATAAAATAAAAAAATATATATGTATACACAGTAGTTCCTTGTTAACATAAACTCAGTGCAGGATTGAATCCTCCTGTTCAACCATAATGTGAACTATGATGGACAAGTTCGATTTATCGAGCTATGTCTTTATTCAGACTAAAAGTTTTTCAATACATATTTCCACATTGTCAAAGTAGAAAGTCTTAAAAATCAAAACAAAAAAATTGAGATTTTTAGTTAATCTCATGCTAGGATGGAAAAAAAAAAAGGACTAACTTAAAAGTTGATTCTGTTTTAAATTAGTGTGAGATGAGGAGTGAGTTATTCCTTATGAAACCAATTCTCTAAAAATTTCAATTTTTTTTATTTTGGCACTTACATCTATGTGCGGGAGCGTAAGATTACTTGCTCTATACATCAATGTACTTCTTTTAAAATCAAGCAGATTCTGAGGCTGTGTTTAAAGATGGTTTAAAAGATAAATTTTGGAACATTACATATTTTGCTATATTTGTTTTTTATATAATTAGCTTCTTTTTTATTGTTATTATTTATATGAAATTAAATAAAAAAACTTTGTCTTTCTATATATGTATATGTATCATGCGCATGTTATTAATTCAGACTCGAAAATATTTCTTTAATCTGCAATTTTAATGTATAATCCAGCATCAGTTTTTTTTTTTTTTTACTGCCAGTTTATGTATAAGTATGTATATATATACATATATATATATATATATATATATATTATATATATATATATATATATATATATATATATATATATACATATATATATATATATATTATATATATATATATATATATATTCAGAGTGTAGATGAAGGTTTACCATATTTTACAAAACTGTCCGTGACATGAAAGCTTCTTTCAAAATCTAGGAGAAAAAGTATCCCAAATATCTTAAGAATCTCAAGAAAATATCTTGGGAGGTAACAACACCAACTTATAAACAATAATAGATTTTATTAAAACCCTACCCTCCCAACACATATATTAATATATATATATATATATATATATATATATATATATATTAATATATACATATATATATACACAAAGCCAGTTTATGTATAGGCATATATATATATATATATATATATATATATATACACATACTTATACATAAACTGGCAGTAAAAAAAAACAAAAAACTGACGCTGGATTATACATTAAAATTGCAGATTAAAGAAATATTTTCGAGTCTGAATTAATAACATGCGCATGACAGGTGGATCACCATGCATAATCCTTTTGAGAAAATTTCATAATTCTCTCAAGGATTAGCAATAAAAATATTAAAATAAAATATGGACTTCATATCAGTTTTGTCTTCAGTTGGCTGTTAAATTGCATTTGTTTTATTTTTCTTGAAAAATGATATTTCATTTGTATCTGACATTTTTAAGAGTGTAAAATGGCCACCACAGAACAAAATAAAGGGAATAAAAAGATGAAATTATTTTTTTTTATTAGTGACCATTCATTATATGTACTTCAGATTAAGTATATATTTTAGATTATAAAATAAATATTAATAGAATTATTTCCGGGAAAGTACATACAATTTAACGTACCTCTAAGAATCAGTAAATATAAAAAAAAAGCGTTCAGCTGCAAACGTCAAATAAAAAATTCAAGATATTCAGCGAAGTATTTTTGAATTAAATTGTTTTGTTATAATTATCATTTTTAAAATAGAGGCTTTCTTAAGCATCCTTCATATAGAATAAAGGAATTAATAAAAAAAAAAAATTGTATAATTTTTTATGGAAAGTTAAATCATTGCATTAATACTTGTTTGTAAATACAATCAAAATAATGTACCAAAAACGTTATTATAGCTCCACAACTATGCCATTTATGAGTACTGAATGATATGGCAGAGGGCCGTAGGCGTCTACGCCAATACAGTTTTTCTGCCAATTAAGTACATTTTCTATGGAACTTCTTCAAATATTTTGAAATGTAATCAGGGTTTTAGAAAAAGAAATGTCTTTTTTAGATGTTTTATTTTAGGCCCTTTTTTATTTGTTGGCTGTTTAATTACAAATGATGCTTAATTTTCAACTTGAAATTTTTTTGTTAAAAAAAAATGTTTTTTATTGCCTAAGCCAATTATTTTTTAATCTTTTTTCATGATTTATTATTCTCTGATTATCCAGCGTTAATAAAAGGCTAATTATGATGAAATTAAGACAAATGCTGATTCTGAGTGACCAATAAACTACTCAAGACAAAGTCGTCAGTCCTGACAAAGAAAAATCTGACAAACCTTGCCTTTTTTTTTAGGAACCATTTTTTATTGGCTCTTTTATTATAAAAAAAAAATTTGTTACCAAAATATAGTTAAATCATAAATTTAAAAATAGAAATGTTTTTTAAATGAGTAAACAATTTCAATTCTATGACTTATAAAATATAATTTTAATCAGCTAGTTTTTATCATGTATTACTTCAAGTTTCTCTAAAACGCACATCTCTCAATTACAAAAAAAATTTGATTCTCTGTGGGGGTCCAACTGAGAAGTTTTACTGAAATTCGTGTTGAACAAGGATCTCTAAAAAAATATGCCAGGAAATGCTTTGTTTTAGATAGAACTAGAAAATTAGTTTTTGTTATTTAGCTTTTCATATAAAATGAGTTTATTTATAAAGAATTACTGTAAATATTTCTTAAATCTAAAAACCCTTAATAATTAATACGTCAGAAGAAATGATTAACAGTATAAGAGTTATAAGCCAACCAGTTCTCATCAATTAATACTTGTAAAATTCATGGCAGAGGTCTTTGAACCAATTAAGCTAAAAAAAAAATTATCTTAAAACAATGATGATTTGTTTCATGAATCCCCATCAGTATTGTTCCAATTATTATTGTAAAAGACACCAAATAACGACAATTTTCAAAATGAAAAAAATTAGTTTAATTACAAATTATTTTTAATTAAGCAAAAGCATCCCAGAAAATAATGGGTTAAGGTTGTGTTGTGTGATATGAACCTTGATCCCAGGTGCGCGGCGATCCCTCACCTTGGGTCTGATCGGAGATCTGATTGGTCAGCTTGGCTCGAATAGCTTTGGCTCCTATCATAATAGTCCTCTTGATCCAACCAGTGAACCGCCCTATCCTTTCAAATGCTTCAGCAATTTTGTTTGTTTCATTATCTGCTGCTGGTGCTGACAAACTTGAAGAACCAAAATTGCTGAGTAGGAGAGCCAAGAACAAGTTTAATACCTGTGCAATAGATAGTGATGAGATTGAGTAATAACAGTAGTAATTAAACTTAAGAGAATACATAGATTTATGAAATTTATTCTCTCTCTTCCAAAGTAAACCTGCAAGAGAGCTGTCTGTCTATATGAAAAAAAAAAAAAAAACCACTCTATCTCCCTATATATATATATATATTGGTTAGTATATGTTATTTGAGATTTGAGAATCTACTTCAAACTTTGAAAATTGAGGTATAATATTTCAAAATAGTTAATATTAATAAATATCAGAAGAATATTGGAGTGATCATCAATTTTTCAACAAAAAAAGAAAAATATATAAATAATTTTAAAAAAAAATAATGGTTGGGTTTAATGTATTATAACTAATATAAAACATTATTTGTGATCCAGGCTATGTCATCAGTCAAGGTGATTATCTTTTGGAGACATATTATTAGTAATTCCTTTGACTTCTACTGGAGCATAGGGCATCCACGATTGTCCTTCATCTATCTCTATCAGCAACAATTCTCCTTGCCCCATTCCATGTTTTGCCAACCCAGCCTAATTAACTCTCTGCAGACATGTGCCACGTCTCTCTTGTTATGCCTTTCCTTCTGTTTCCCAGAGGGTTCCATTGTAGTTCTGTTTTTTCTATTGCCTCATCTTTTTTCCTCAAGGTGTCCCCTACCCATTCGCTTCTTTATCTCTAAATGGATTGGTAGCTTTCCAAAGTCCTTCATTTGATATGCGCTCTGGCCACCAAATCTCCAGTATCCTATGAAGGCATCTGTTAACAAAAGTCTATACTGGACGGTTGATACTTTTGATCACTTTCCATGTTTCATTGCCATAAAGCAGGACTGATTTCACGTTTATGTAGAAAAGCCGTATTTTCGTGGTTTTTGTTAGGATTCTGTTTTTCCATACTGGGTATAAGTGAACTAAAACCCCATTGGTCTTTTGTATTTGGCTTTTCACATTTTCTGCTGAGCCACCTCCCTTTGTAACCATGCTTCCCAGGTAGACAAAGGAGTCAACCTGTTCCACGATCTTTTCCATCAAGAGAAGAGGCTACCAGGATCACTCATTCATCCTCTATCTTTTGTCTTGCCTATGTTGATTCGCAGTCCAACTCGGCTTGCGATTTGGCTAAGGACATCCAACTTGCACTCCAAATCGCTGAACTTCTGCGCCAGGAGACGGATAACATTCAAAAAGTCAAGATCCTCAAGTCTCCCTCTTAGTCCGCACTGGATACCGCGTCTTCTTCCTTTAAGTGTTGCTCTCATAGTAAAATCAAGAACAATGATAAATAATTTTAGTGATAGCAGGCATCATTGCTTCATTCCGGTTACTATCTTGATTGGGTTTGAGAGCACTCCTTCATGGACAATTGTGCACTCGTTCCCATCATATTGGCTTCTTATATGATTAATAATCCTACTGCGGAGTCCATACCGTCCTAGAAGCTTCCACATGGTGTCATTATTGATTGTGTCGAATGCCTTCTTAAAATCTATAAATGAAAGATACAAGGGGCTCTGCCATTTGAATCTATGCTCCAAGATTATCTGCAGGGTATTAATGAGATTGATGCGGCTTCAGTGTTCCCTAAAACCTGCTTGTTCTTTCCTCAAACGTTGATCAACTGATTGTTCGATCCTCTTCAGGATCATCCGGATCATCCAAATAAAATTAAATCAGGTGCCAAAAAAAAAATAAAATAAAAACAGGTATTTAATAAGGGTATTGGAAAACTTTTCTTTTAGCTTTTCTTATTTGCACTATGTATAGTACCTAGGTCTTTTTTAAGAGTGGAAATAAAGATTTTTGGTGAACTTTTAGAGTAAATCCAAACATGTTTTATTCACACAAACTCCAGTAATATTTTTTAAATATATTAATGAGTTATGCAGAAAATTTTAATAGAAAATTACTAAGTGATTGTACAGTAAAATCTAAAGCAATATTTAAAATATTAAGAATTAATTGTTATCGCTATTTGAATATAATAAATGCGGTGCTTTGAATGTATAAATCTGATTGATAAGAGCTTTCAGTGAAATCTGAGGCTGAAATAGCAACTTGTAGAGCAAATAATAAAAATCACTCATTTTTTATGAGGAATATTTTTGTTTTCTATAGTGGTATTGGTGGAGAAACTAATTTATCTATAGGATCATTTAAAGTATTTAATATACAATTTTTTCATAAGACCAATAAAATAAGTTATTAAAATACAAATGACATACAACAAGATTTCCGATGACCACTGTTGCTAAAAAAAATGGAATACATGAGACATCTCCAACAAGCATACAATCCCACATGGATTCAATCCACTCTCCACATAAGACCCGAAATACAATCATAAAAGAGTGCATGAAATCAGTGAAATTCCACCTTGGAAGTTCTCTAAAAGGGAAGCGATCCATGTTGTCTAAAAAAAAACAAAAAAAGAAAAAATCATAATGGTACATTTAAATACTATTTCCTTATATATTTTACTTCTGGAAATCTCAAATACTGTATTGGTGTTTATTTAGTAAACCTGCACTCTTATAAAAAATAAATAATATAATAAATAAATACTGATGCTAACTGAAAATTTAAAAAGGAAATATATTTTCCAAAAAATGATTTCAAGTGCGTTAAAAATAATGAACTTTTTTTTTTTATTGATGTCACAATAGTGAATAGATAGACTGCAATAGACTAAATAAAGTATAAAATTATAACTAAAAAAATAATACCTATGTAGTTTTTTCCAAAAAGCTGCATTCCCATTACAGCAAAAATGAAAATAATAATACAGAGTACAAAAGTCAGGTTACCCAAGGCACCCACTGTTCGACCCATAATTGAAATGAGCAAGTTGAGCGTAGGCCATGATTTGGCAAGTTTAAAAACCCTTAGCTAGAAAAAAAGGACTGATTAACTTATAAAGAAACTTATAGACAAACCAAAATGATTAAAATGATTTATATATGACATACCAATCTAAACGACCTCAAAACTGAAAGTCCTTGAATTCCTTCTAAACTGAGTTCTAATAGTGAAAGTGCAACAATAATAAAATCAAAAATATTCCAGCCTTCTTGAAAATAATATTTTGGACTCATAGCTATTAGTTTCATTGCAGCTTCAATACCAAATGTTGCACTAAAAAACTTTTCAGAAAATTACATTTATTAATAATTTTTAAATGATATTATAAAATAATACAATATTTTGCACATAAACTAAAATATTATATTACCAACTATATAGAGAAAATATGGTTGACAAAATATTGAATAAATAAATATATTTAGAGTAGAAAATGCATTGGTTTTTTCTCAATAAAATATATTCTTAAAATTAAATGAATAATAGCTTGCAGAGAGGAGTAAATGCTAAGGCTTTTGGAGAGTGAATAGCACTCTCACTTCAATATATCCAGAAATTTTACCATTGGGGGAAGGGTCAAGCTACAAATAATCAACCTATTTTAACCAGACTGCGATCGTCGTTCATTCTGTAGATTTGCCCCAAAATTTTTATCCGTTTAGGCTAGACTTTACAGATAGGCTTGTGACCAGCACAATTTTGAAGGGGGTTAATAATTTTATAATCTTAATAATTTTTCTAAAGAAGGATCGGAAGTTAGGGTCAATGGATGGTGTAACTGCAGATGCCTGATCCATGATTGGGGTCTGGAACTGGAGGTTGGCAGCACGGAACCGTGATGACTAACCAGTCATCAAGAAACAAATACAGAATTAGCTATTCAAATAGCAAAAAAATAAGATCTAAAAATTCTGATAAAAACATAATCTACTAGTAACGTCACTAAATATTTTTTAATAGTCTTTGGTACCATCTAAAAGAAAATTGTAACCATAAAATAGTGCCATCAAAATAAGAAAAAATCTGGTGCATCACACAACTTTCACTTACCAACCTTAGAGTAGATAGGTATTTCCATATGTAGTGAACTCAAAGTGAAATCGACAGTATAACTTCATTCAAAACAATTAATTATCATATTTTTTCCACCAATCGAATCTTTGCATCTCTTTTCGAACCAACCAATCGAATTTTTGCATCTCTTTTCATTTCCTTTTACGACTATGTATAGTATCAAACAATACTAATGATTGCATGGAAAAATGGATTCTTTAGGAAAAATTCTGGGTTTATCGGAAACATTTATCACGAAACTCATTGAAAAAATAACCCAACATAAGTAATTATTGTATATTATTAGATTTCTATTAGTACATCCTCAACATTTCGCATGAAAACCTTCTTAAAAAAGTATGGATAAGTGATGTATAAAAGTTAAATTAACAATAGGAAAGCCCTGTAAAGAGGAGTATCGGGTATTTGTAAACTGAGAGGATCGGCCATGGTTGGGCGCTTTCGGCTGTTTCCTTATAGCTTCCAATCTTTAGCTACCAATAAATTTTCTTCATTCATTATATTTAACCATTTTTCATATCAGTTCCTAATGTGAAATGGTTAATTATTTCAATTTAAAAAAATCAAAGGTACTTTAGAGGAAAAATATTTGAAAATTGGCATTTAAACACTATTAAAGAACATAAATAAGAATGATACATATATTATATTTAAAAAAACCTACTTTTACGCTGATGTAATGAATTTAGTCAAAATTGTTACAGCCATTTTCGAGAAAATTGCAAAAATGTATAAAATTGAGATTTAAAGTGGCACTTCAAATTAGCCGATTTTGGATAAAAACGTTGCTGTTACATACCAAGCATGTAAAAACCTTAAATACGCAATTTTAGTTAATTACCACTTTTCGTTTTTGAGCTAGACAGTTCACATACACATACATGCACACAGACCATTTTGCGGAATCTGGTCATTGGGACTCAGGGGACCTCAAAACATTGAAAAATCAGATTTAAAAAATTTCACAATCGCAATACTTTCCCTCAGTACATATTACATATATAGGTAAGTAAAAGTAAAAATGGCCATGATTGAAAAATAAAACAATATAAGGTTAAGTAAAAGAGGAGAGGATTTTTAACAGAAAACGTTTAAAGGAGAAAACTAGAATCTTCACAGAAAATGATAAATAAAATTATAACTAATTAAAACACCCTCATCTATAATAACGCATTGCTATCAATTTTCACATAATCTAGAGATTTTTTGATGCTAAGAAGCACCTTGACCATCAGTGAGAAATAGATACAAGGTTTTCTAATAATATCAAACAATAATTTTACAAGTTGAAACCAAATATGATGACTATAGAAATAAATTGATCATACTGCTAATAGAAAATGGATAGCTTGAAAGATAAGCCAAGAAGAAATAATCCATAGAAGAGGCATAATCAATCATTGCAGAAAAGAACAAACTGATTCAAGATTGTAACAAATAGTTATAACAATATCAGATTTTCCATTGAAACTAAAGAAAATGAATGCAGCCATTGTTAGGTTTAGATTAAATCTAGATCTTTTGGCAAGAAATAAAATTAAACATGGTAAAAAAATGTTTTAATGTTCATTTAACTTCATAGGGCTGATAGTAACTTGATATGATAGGTATATTGGATACCAGAAAGGTGGGGGAAATGGGAATTACTTTTCTTTACCGCCCAGAAGCGGAGATATCTCCTACTTATCCACCACCCACCTCAACCAACAGAAACACCAATAACTATTGTGACTTAAAGGCCTATAAAGCAGCCTGAAATATCAGCAAAGGTGTAACATTAAAACACCTTTTTAATGAATTATTGGAGGAAGTTAGTCAACTGTTCTACATATCATGAGTGATAAATATTCAGGACACAGTCATTATAAAGTTTTTATAAGTGCCAACGTTTCAACCCAAACATGTGGGTCACTGATTGCGTCCTGAATACGTATCACCCATTTTTTTAATGTTAGTTTTTATATTTTGATCCATCCACCAATCATCGACTGGTTATAAGTAATATTTTAGAATTTATTGCTAATTGAATAAGTTTTAATAATAAGGTCCATAAAAACTTTATTTAAATTTAGAAAAACCTAAAATTTTATAACAGAAAGCGTAAATGAGGGTAGAATATTTTTGACTGACAGTTCAAATTTTTACAAATAAAATGAATTAATTATTATAATTTTTGATTACTGATAAAAGTACTATCTTATTTCTCATTTATGAATGGCAATTAATATAAATTGTTCAAATCATATTTACGATTGGTAATGGATCAATGAAAATGAATATCATTCTATAACATACTAAAAAGAAACAAATAACATTTTAAAATACAAATATTTAAAGAAAACTTGAAAACTTAAGAAATGTAAAATTATTTAAAGTATTTAACTCACATAATTTCCACTTTTAAGGGCTTTTTCCAATTCTTTGTCCATATCATGATGGTCGAGTGCCATGAAGAGTGTATTGACAACAATGCACAGTGTAATGAACAATTCGACAAATGGATCAAAAACGATGAATGCCACAAGCTCCTGGAACTTAAGCCATGGTCCACAACAATCCCACACACAGAAGACATCGATACAGTGCAGGCAGAGGGCAACAAACTTCTCCTTCGCTGTCGGCTCCTCATCCTCTTCTTCTGTCGGGAAATAGTAGACGGAAACTGTGACCCCCATTATAACCCACCCCATTAGTCATGGATTGTTTTTTTGTATCAATAATAGTAATAATATATATATGATATTAATTAATTAAAATTAATAATAACAATGTCACCAAAGTTGAAGATATTCAGCTTACTCTTTATTTAAATTATTCATATTTTAAAAGTGCGTGTTCTCGTCAGGTGGAGTTTTTATGTGCATTATAAGTGCAGTTAAGAACCATTAATGTAATATAATAACGTGGAAGCCAGAAATATTGCTGATTGCAAATATAACAACATTACTAAATATTCATCTGATTCAAGCGCTTTTAGTTCAATTGCTTGAACCATCAAACCCTGTTTTAGTTTTTATTTAATTAAAATGAAAATACTAATTCTATTCTAACATAACCATAATTTTGAGTCAAAAGATTAAAAAAAAAAAAAAAGAAATCAATTAAATACCATAGATTTACATATGGGAATTATTAAAATATTTTGCATTAGGTAAAAGATTTATGTTGAAATTAATGAAGTAAATATTAAAAAAAGAAGTATTAAATGTTTCCTAATATTAAATAATATTCTTTCAAGATTTCTTAACGCCATTTAAAATATAAAACATAGAAAGGCTGAGATAAAAATTGTATGGAAGCCCAGAAAATACAGATAAAAAAAAACACTTAAAAAAAAAACATTATTCATGACAGTAGAACTTCCAAGAAAGTTTCATATAGGTAACTTATTTCAAATTCATCTTAATTTATTCATTAATGACATGAAGATTATCGCATTAGAGGCAATAAATTAATAAAACACGATTTATTAATTTCTTAACGGTGATCTATACATAAGGAAAAAAAAAGAAAGAGCCAGAGTGGCCATTTATTATAGGCTATTCTCATTTCTCGACAATTTCTATTCTTCCATAACTGAGTTTAACAAAATTAAATGCTCTAAGAATTTTGAGCATCAAACTCTACACAGTGGTGTAACTATGAAGGAGAATGTCCCAATACACCCGTTTTTTCTTGTACTTTCTCTTCCTCTTCCAGAAACAAAGTATCAATTTTTTATTACTTAAAGCCAACCTTAACCTTGCAATATTATTCACACTCAATCTTAAAAATAAAAATTAAGCTTACAATAAATAATTAAACAATGTTTAAAAGACAATTAAATTTTTATTTGTATCCCTCCCCCCCACAGCCTCTTCTCCCCAATATGTTGCTTTGGTTGCATTAGCATTATTTCATCATTGGCTCAAACTTGAATAAAATAATGGAAGAATTTTTCCATTCAAAGAAAATATGAGAGCTTAAATAGAGACAATATAATTAAATATATAAATAAAATTGCTGACCATATTGTGATAGCAATCACGAAAATCTGTGTTTTTATTAAATACTCACCTGAATTCATAGGAATTCTTATGTTTAGGCAACATTATTATTGAGGTGTTACAATCGAAATGTGTGATTCAGGGAGAGGAGAGAGGAGGAGTAGCCAAAATGTATTGGGAGCCGTGAATTAGACTGTGGGGTGGGAGAGGGAGGGAGAAGGACCTTTCAAATTATTTACACCATTGTATTAAACCAAATCAAATAATAGAAATAATAGTGCAAAACATTTTTGGAGAAGATGAAATGCAGCTTGAAGGTTCATTAAATTAATATTTCAAATATTTCTTGAGTGAAAAGATAATAAATGCAATATATCTAGGAAGTTATAAATAAAGTAATAGGTAATGAATAATAGCAATTATGTATTGTATTCTCAAATCTATACTCCTTCACTACTTTTTATATACATGTTAAATAAATTTGTTTGTAAAATATTCATGCATAAATATTTTTGGAAATCTATAAAGAATATTTTGTTTTTTAAAGCAATAGAATAAACATTAGTGAATAAATTTACTTTCAACAAAAGTAAACAACACATTATACACTGTTTCTAACGAAGAAAGCAAAAACAAAAATTATAGATACAAATTTGAGAAGGCAACTTAAATTTCTTAAGGTGTAAATAAAATATAGCATAAGCTTTATGAAGTATGATTATTAAGTCAAACAAATTTTACATTAATGGCATGTAGAATAAGATAAAACATAAAAATTTACTAAGCTTTATACAACACTAAGGCTTAGACATGTAAAATGCAATCTGTCACAATGGTTGAGTCTAGACCAGGCTTGGCCAGCCCAGGGGTTGCCATGTTATGACTGAATATAATATTCTAATTAACTGAATATGCCATTGAAACTTTTATTTTTCAATATATTTTTACAAAAAATGCTAAATAAATAAAATTTTTATGTGTTACTGTTATAATACTCAAATGCAATTGTGAACTCCAGCTTTTTTATTTGATATCCATGGGTGCCAAATATTATTGAAAGAATTGGAAAAAAATATACAAAAAAAAAAGAATAACTGAATATCTCATTAATTATGTAAGTTTATCTAAATTGTGGGTCAATTACATTATGAGATATCAAAGTGGCCTGTTAAGCCATTTGGCTGGTCTAAACTGGTTTGGCCTGGCCTAAACTGAGGAGGAAAGCTATAACCATAGAGAATTACAAAATGATCGCATGAACTTGGTGATATCTGAAAGGCCACTGAAAATTTTAAAAATGCTTTGAAGCATGAAAAGAAAAAAAATGTAATAATTAAAAGAAATTAATAATAAAAATATAGGCCGGAAGTGGAATTGCAACCTATTGGTTGGTACATGATCAGTAAGAATTTTTCAAATAAGAATTCATTAATTTAAACTTCTTTGTGATGATTTCTGTTAAAAATAGGAATAATAATTGAATTCAAGATTGGAGATTTTAAATTTAATTGGAAAAAATTAAAAAAATCGAGAAACTGAAACAAATTTCTCCAATACTACCTATTTGTTTTTATCTACTTTATAATTTAAACAATTTTCAAATGAGTTTGTTGGTCATAGAATTTCAAATTTGAATACATTCTTAAAAAGCTACATAATTTTTCTTGGTTAAATGTGAATTTGCTCGACTATTATAATGTTATTCTTCATTTTAATTTAATTTAATTTTAAATAAATAAAAAATATAGCTGTTCCCATTAAATCTCCTTCACTGATCCCTCAATGAGAATATTGATTTAAACCCTGAGTAATGAGTAATGTTTGTAGGAGGTAATGGTTGCCTATGTATTTATATTTTTTGTGGTGTCTGACAGTTCTTATAAAATGCATTAGCTGTTGTTTGTATAATATCCCAGTATATATTAATTATTATGGTTGACTGATTATTATTTTATTGACCCAGTAACAGAGAAAACTTCTTAATTTTAATTAATCACTTTTGAATAGGAATATTTTCCATCCCACTTTACAAAACAATTTTTCTACTGGCCGAATGAACTTTAAATAGTTTTAACCATGAAAGAAGTCATAATTTGAATTACGAGTTTAGTATTGCTTTAGAGCTGAGGTAGCCTAAATGTGGTATGATGTGGGTTTGGAACTGGCATGTGGCTGATCGGTAAGTTTTAATTTTGGTATTTATTCTTAATTTTGTTATTAAAAAGAAAATTCAAGTTCACTTTCTGGGATTAAAGTGAATTTTAGACACAGCATGTTTGATATATGTAACAAAATCACTATCCCAGTATATACATTTCATTATATAAATAATATTTATTATTTATAACAGTTTTCATTATGTATTAGTATTTTTAACATTTACATAATGGAATAAATGTTTTAAAAAACAAATGCCTATCTTATATAGAAATAGTTAGTGAAGGTAGGCTGGTTATAGGGGAGGGAGATACAGTTGCGACATGCATCACTGTAGAAATCCATCCCAAACTCTTTGTTGTGGCACGCTTTATAAAAAAGATTGGGTGCCTCTAAAAATATTGTAATCTTAATGATCTAAAATATTATAATCTCAAACTATCAATAAAAAAAATAAATAAAAAGGGCTGGCTTAATTAAGAATTTAATAATATAACATAAATGTAAATAACAGAAGAAAATTGAAAAATAAAAGTGAAAAAATTAATAAAATAATAGATGATTTTCAGTGGTTAACTACAAATTTCTAATCTTTATACAAATAAAAATACATTCTGAGTAAAGTACTAAGTAAATATTGATTTCGGAAGAATAGAATTTCTGACAAACACTAAACATTCCTCTATAGCTTATAATGGATAAGGTAAGCAGTTTTCTAAAACTTTATTACAAACTTTAAATTAAATTATCTGAAACTTAATGTTTAATGAATTTAATTTATTTAACATGCACAATCAGTATTTCATAGTTTAAAATCTATTTTCATGGTAAAAGAACTTCATTAAATAACCTTTCCCATTCAACACACAATCTATAAACTGATACCAATACATTAATTTTTATTATAGAAACTAAAATGGCATTTAAAAAAAATTACCAAAGGCAAATAGTACTAAACAAGAAACAACACAATATTTATTTATTTTTTTCAAACATTTCAGCCTACAACAAAGACCAAAACATCAGCAAGTATAAACAATAAAAATTGTTAATTATGTTTTATTTCTGAAATATCCCTTCTTCATTATCTCCCAAATTCCATAAGCAGTTAACTCCATCCTCATAACTTTAATATATGAGAAAAAAAAAAAAAAAAAAGCAATTTTATAAGGAAAATAAATAATAGCAATTTTACAAAAAATAAGCAAATGAAAGTATTGATACATGCATGGAGCAAGCTGAATATTATTTTTATACAAAACAACAATCCACACTTTAGCATCAGCACTACAACAATATAAGTAATAAATTATACTAAGGAGATAGATAATATGACACATAAATGTACTTAATGAACTACAAACCTAATACAACTAAAATGATTTCATTTAATATTTTAATAAATTTTGAAAACATATATACATCCATCGAATAACATTCATATATACATGTATTTAACAATTAAAAAAAATCTCTTAAGCTGCTAAAATTAGCGCATAAATTAATAATGAAAAAAAAGTGTATATATATATTGAATTTAAAGTTAAATTTAATTTGTGTGTATATATATATATATATATATATATATATATTTGATATCCTGTGAACTTACTGATATTTCTGAACCACATGTGTACTTAAGAAGTACATGCGAAGAGGTACTAAATAATAAGACACACATTAAACATACATTATTTACAACATGGTAGTTTCTCATTTCATGGAAAAAATTATCAATTTCGACAAAAAGATTAATTAAATACATATTTGAATGGAGATACTCATTAACGAAACTTATATTATACTTTTCATACTTTACCCATAATATTGATTAATCCTTTGATAATGAGCAAAAAAGCAGCAACGAAATAAATTATGTTCAAACATTAATAGACTAAATCATTTTTGCAATATTACTAAAAAAGGAATATATTAATAAATTTCCATGGAATGAAAAGATAAATCATGCAGAAATAGTAAAATGTAAAAAAGTTAAAATCATTAAAAATGTCTAAGTACATCATAATAGCTAATATAAATATTAAATTCTAACTGTACATAAACAAACAGAAGCATTTATATATGTACAATAAAATAAGTTAACTAACTACTTTATCATATTTATGCATAAAAAAGTAAATATAACCAAACGATGAACCTTCATAAATTAATGTAGAGAAGATAATATAAAATAATAATATTATGTTTTCTAATAGGATTCTCACCTCCATGCTCACTACCACGACTATGCCTCCCAGCAGCTTGTTCAATTATGTCATTCAGAACCATTACATCTAAAGGACAAATACAGAGTTTTTGAAAAATTAATTGTTCAATTAAATTTTAGATAACTGAACAAATTTGTTATATTGCTTTACCTTTCATATCAACGACAGTTTGCTGTTGCGAAGGTTCGATGTAAGTATTGTCAAGGTGTTTACCTTTAGAAGTTCCGTCTTCTAAATCAGACATATCCTATGATAAAAAAAGTAATAAGTCATAGAATCATGATACTTACATAAAATAAATAATTATTCTTTTTTTTTTTTTAGAAGTTTACCATGTTTTTAACATGACCATGACTAATAAAAGCTTGATAAACTGCATAGCATGTGCTACAAAAAGATATGTGCTGTAACACAACACTTTATGTGCTTAGGTGTATTATTAAAGTTTATCCCTAAGAACTTTTAATATCATGAAAATAAAATAATAATTTTAATTAAAGTTATCAGTTTTCTATTCTTTTTTACTTATCACTTCTTATAAATTTAAAACCTTTGTTTCACTACTAGGCACAGACACTCACAAAAGTACAGCACACATGCATATCTCATACATATACCGATGCACACATTTTTACATTAACACAGAGGAAACCTGTATATAAATTTTTGTCTGCATCATTTAAATTGTCGGTATTAAATAAACTAAATATTTCAATTTGCCTGTGAGAATTATTGAGATATCATTTCTGTGCAATGCCCATTTGCCCACAACCTTTTTATGAAATAATTCAATAAATTTGATTTAAAATAGATCAGATCAATATTGTCATATTTTTTTTATTATTTAATTTTAATTTTTTTATACCCAACATGAAAAACAAATAGATTTAAAAACAATACCTATATAATATAGTTTTATGTATATGCATAATGTCATTAATGATAGCATTTCTGTGTATAAAGCTAAGTTTTATACATACATCAATGAAAATTAATATTTACAAAAGTCAATAAAACTATCGCATCAAATCAAAAAAATTTGCTTTTTATGATTACAATGATTACTTTATGATTACAATGATGATTTTATGATTACAAGCAGAATTGAAAATGATTTAAAGTAAGAGATCAGCGAGGAACAGGCGGGTTTTCGAGCTGGAAGATCATGCACTGATCACATTTTTAGTCTCTCACAACTTATAGAAAAGAGGATGGCCCACGACCGTGAACTCCATATGATATTTGTAGATTTACACAAGGCCTATGATTCAGTACCTCTAGCGAAATTGTGGAAAGCTTTGGAAGCCACATCTATTAAGAGATACCTCATCAGAGCAATTCAAGAGCTCTATAAAAATATAACGGGGGCTATAAAAATTGGAGATAGAGTGTCTAGAAGCTTCTTCATTAACAAAGGATTGAAACAGGGCTGCTGCCTTTCACCCCTGATTTTCAACATTTATATAGAACAAGCCCTTAAAAACTGGAAAAGATCGTGCTGTGGAATGGGTGTTCAAATCGGGAATGATGTCATCTACAATTTGCAGTATTCCGATGACCAAGTCATAATCGCATCGGATCCGGATGATGTTTAGCTATATGATGAGGAAGTTGCTGGACACGTGTTCCAGATGGGGTCTGAAAATCAGTGAAAGTAAAACAGAGTATATGGTTTTCAACGCTCCAAATTTGCCCCTTGAAATTGATGACTGGACGCTAAATGTCAGCCAACAGTTCAAGTACCTCGGATACTGGTTATCTTCAAAGGGTGGTAGTGAGGTTGATATCGAACATAAAATAAATAATGGGAAAAGAATAATAAGTTCGATAAATTCAACCCTATGGAGGAAAGAAATAAGATTAGAAACTAAAAAAAAGATATACCATTCCTTTGTAGAAAGCGTAGCCACTTACGGATCAGAAGTCTGGACACTGACAAAAAAGATGGAAAATAAGTTGCTTTCCATGGAAATGGATTTCTGGAGAAGAAGCTGTGGCATATCCAGAATCGAGCGGATCCCAAACGCAGCAATTAGAGACAAGGTCGGATGTCAAAAGAACATCCTTCACCTGATCGGGACCAAACGGTTAAAGTGGTATGGCCACTTAATGCGGATGGATGAGAACCGCTGGCCAAAGAAAATTTATAACTATATGCCACCTGAAAGAAGGAAGCGTGGAAGGCCAAAGAAGAAATGGATAGAGGACGTGGAGGAAAGCATGGCAGCCAGAGGGCTTCGTGAGGGAGATTGGATGGACAGGGAGCAGTGGCTTTTGGGTGTTGGGGATATGACTCCTTGAGTTGTATAAAACCCAAATAATAAAAAAAAAAAATGATTACAATAACAATAATAATGATATTTAATAGAAGTAAATATTATTATATACTTCATTTTGTCGAATAATGAAGAAAATGAACACATACACAGACACATATATAAAACAATGAACAAAATTAAAATTGTTGATTAATTTTAATACCAATAGCAATAATTTAAAATTATCTCTTAAAGCTAGAGACCCCATTCATAAAATATTGGGGGTGAAGTAGAGGCAAAAAGTGCTTAGCTCATCTCTGATGCTGGTCCCTATTATTGACAATGAGATAGATGACTGAAAAAGATCAACATTCAGAATACGTTACAAGAAAAGGACATTGGGAGAAGTCTTATAATCAAATTAAGGTAGCTGATAACAGCTTGACTGAATTTGTAACAAAGGCCATGCCAGTGGCAGCAACAAAGGAAAGACTGATGAAAATTCACCCTCATTGTAGAAATTTGGTCCAAGTTACATTCTCTTTGCTTGCATTCACCGATGATATAATGTTTCTTGCAAATAACATCTGTCTATAACATAATATCCCAACCCTAGAAAAGCAAAGGACATGAGGACTGGAAAGAAGCTCCAAAGAATGAGAATGATTAGTGAGAGTGTTGGAACAGGTGCACTAGCTCAAGTATCTAGGTTCATCCTCAAATAAAAGAGGTATAAAAAACAAGGTGGATGAATCACCTTTTGTGCCATAGATTATTGTAGATGTACCAAAGAAATTGATTAATTACCTTTTCTATACGTATAACAACTGATTTTAAATAGTTTGAGAAATAAAATAGTCAGATAATAAATTTATTACAATATCTCCCTTAGACAAGGTGGTCTTACAAATTGGGTGATCAATCTGATAGATAGTTTACGGAGGACTAGAACAGGGAGATGAAACAACTGGAAATTCAATCAAATAGTACAGAACTAAATATTCATTAATTACAACAAATGTTAATACTGAGCAAAGATCAAAAACAAAATTAAGCTATAGCAAATATGCTATCTTTTGGATCAAAACTCAGGTTAAATTCAGCTATAATAATTAATTAATGGGAAAGAAAGTGAAATGATATTAGTCGTAAACAATAGTGTAAATAAATGAAGTTGTGTGACATGCGATGAAAAAGTAGTGGAGTGTTCTGGCACAATTCATGACAGTGTGAACCCACTTATTGGGGTAGAATTTAAACCAAACACAAGCTGAACTTAACAAATGCAATACCAAGATAAATATCATGAGAATATATAACACCACCTATGAATCAAGGAAATAAAATTATAGATTTTAGACATTATTATTTTCATTCAATTAAAATAATCATGATTGGAATATTTAGTTAATAATAGAGGTATCACAATTTGCATCAATACCAGTATGTGTCATATTGAAAATATGATGTGGAAACTTTTACAAGAAGCTTGTCCAAGATTTGAAGAAAAAGAAAATAGTTTTTAAAAATTCTCGTTAGAAATATCTTTTAGGAGATACCATTTATTTTTCATTTGAAGTAAAATATCTGACATAAATAAAAGAAAAGGATTTTTTAAAATAACCATTTAGAAAGTTTTAACAATTAAAACGAAACTAATCCAGATATAATAAATCCTAAACTTGGTTTGATAATAATCCTTAAGTTGAATTTTATTAATCCTTAATCTATACATCATAATTCTATCAAGACATAATTTTCAAAACAGTCCAATACTTCACAAGTTTATTTATTTACTTTATATGATTCTTTAATCTAGAGATGTAATAATTTTCTAAAACAATAAAAATAAAATGAAATTTTCAATTCAGTTCAACATCTAAGAAGCTTTTTTATGCATGGAACAGTTATTGTAGGTGACGAAGTAGATGTAAAACAAGTTACAGAAGGTAAATTGGTAATAATTCAGAATCACAAAGACCTATCAACATATATATATAAAAGTTTTCACTTCCAGCACATTAATAACTTTTATTAAATATAGGATGACATAAAATACCCAAATTTATGCCTTTGAAATAAAATCTTGACTTTGGGGTTTCAAGATAGACAAATTTTAATTTTTTTTTTAAATTTATAGGCACATATTAAGCAATATAGAATTTGTTAATAAAGATGCGATAATTTTATTGTTAGCTATGGATGGCTTGTCAATGGCTTACTAAAATAAATAAAAATAAAAAAAAAAATAAAAAAATAAAAAATAAAATAAAATAAAAAAAGTGATGATAAGTGAAATAATGAATCAATCTGGAGTTCAAAATTTCAGTGAAATAATTTGCTTTTGGAATAAAAAGCCACTGGAAATGGTTTCAGTTATATTTGTAGAAATTGTAATGGAGCTAGTGAATGGTATAGCCAGATATCAATATTCAAGGGATCGAATGCCCAACTCAAGTGCATAAAGAAATTATAACTATCAAATGTTAGTGTTTTTTATTGGGTGGGAACGAGAAATGAGAATTATTTTTTCTCAAAAAGAATGATTTGTAAAATAAAAACAATGATATATTATTTTTCTGCTGGAAAAGACTGAAATCTGGCTATGGTATCCTATAAGGAAAATTATGTTTAACATAAAAAATCTAAATAGTTAAAAAATGAAATCAATTTAAGTAAACTTATAATTATGGTTTTTTTTTTTTTTTTTAATTTTCTCTCAACTTAAACTTAGTGTATAAAGCTCCAACTTTCTAATAGTTGCCCCAAAGAATGTTTTTTAGAAATAATACTTTCTTACTGACATATATCATTTAACGACATATGGAATTATGACAACTTCACTTTTGAAAAACATGGATTTTATTTTTAAAAACAAAAAAATCAGTTTATTGAAAAATAATACAATAAAATTTAAATAACAGTAATTATTCAGGAAAGAATAAAGAGTACTAAACCAACAAAACCACATTTTTCTAAAAAACCAAAA